GCACAGCCATCCAGAGCAGTGTGCTTACAGTGCAGAACACACACACCCCGCCCCCTAGTAAAACACTCCCATCACACAGTTAACTCTTTGATTGCCCCTCATGTTAACCCATTCTTGCCCAGTGCCATTAGCACAGTGTCAGTGATTTTTTTTTTTTTCGCACTGATCACTGTATTGGTACCTCCTGATCGCCCTATAGGGCGGCACGAGTGCGTAAAATCACAAACATATATATGTGATTTGTACTCCCGTTGGTTTCATGCCCCTCCCAGATAGCGTCAGATTGCCCATCAGTACACCAGTCATCACATTTAACCCCTTGATTGCCAGGAGCACGCTCACATATACAATAAACCTCCATTGCTAGTATAGTGTCTGAACGGATCAATATCTTTGATCAGATCAGCACTATACCAGCGTTCACATTAGTATAGAGTCCCCAAAAACACAGCGTTAGCGGGATCAGCCCCGGCACCTGCCAGCACCTGCATTTAGCCCCTACGCTTACCCCCCCTTCTCCCCTAGCAAGTGCAGTGTCAGTAGGTCACTGTTACTTGATACATTGCACACAAAACCACAGTGTTCGCAGAATCAGGCCTGATCTCTGCTAGTACTTGCCGGTAAATTTTGATGACTCTCATATGCAGCAGTGTGCCAGTACTAGTGCTGCTCCACCTTTTGGTGAACTGGCAAGCACCAGTGGCCTAGTACATCCTGATCTTTCACATACCAGCAATGCAGTATCCCTTGGTGACATGACGAGTCCCATAAGTGCAGAACAAGCTGGTGCGGTGGCGAGCACAAGTACTGTCCCGCAACTACCAAGAATTCGCACACAGGCCGTAGTATCCTTCTGGATGTGTTTGCAAATCCCGATTGGCAGTCCACAAATTCTGAAGAATCTGTACTTCTCCCATTCACTGCCCAACCTGGAATTCAGGTGCAAACAGCAAATTTAACTACTCCCCTTGATTTTTTGGAGCTGTTTTTTCACGGAAGATCTGTATGCATTGATTGTGGATCAAAGCAATTTATATGCACATCAATTTATCGCCGCCAACCCAAATTCAAACCATGCCAGACCATTTGCATGGAAACCCAATACGGTTTCCGAATTTAAATTTTGATTAGCTGAGGATTGCTTTTACAAGCAGCGGGAGAAGATGCCCCCCTCCCCCGCTGCCTTCCATGGCCTTCTCGGGCAGTCCTGTGCCATCGGGGGGAAACCTGAGAATGCAGCCAGTGTTTCTGCCAGCTCACCATAGAGCTGATTGGAGACCAGAGTGATGCCAATCATCTCTATAGTCTAAGAGGCTACAAGCATTTCATCACTTCAGTTTCGCAGGATAAAAACAGCGCCATTTGTAGATTGAGAAAGCATCTGATCACACCGATCTTGGTTTGATTAGATAATGTAAGGGCAGAGGAGAGATCTAGAGTCTGATAGACCCCAGATTTCTCAAAAAAGAATATATGACAATGCCCATTGAAGTTATAGGCCAGGGGTCCTCAAACTATGGCCCGCGGGCCACATGAGGCCCGCTGAGGACATTTATCCGGCCTGCTGGGCAGGGGCGTATCTGCCGCGAGGCAAGGGACTAGGGTTTGGCAGGTTGGGATTGCTCGGCAGGGCTCGGGCGGGAGGCAGGAGAGCGGGATCAGCAATTCTAGAACAGGGGAAGGTGGGCTCGGCTTATGAACCCGCACCACTCACCTGGCCTCCCTGCAGCCAGCCGGCCATCTATTCTGATCAGTGCATGGCATGCAACCGTCACGGCCAGAAGGCAGAGCCTAGAGCTGACCATGAAGAGGGGGAGCAAGAGAGTAGACTCCATCGTTGCATGTCGGGTATCACGGCCACGGACCCTAGATAAGTGCAATAGATGATCGATCTCCTCCCCTCTCTCTCTCTCCCCTCTCTCTCTCCCTCTCCCCCTTCTCCCCCTCTCTCTCTCCCCCTTCTCTCTCTCTCTCTCCCCCTTCTCTCCCCCCCTTCCTCTCCCCCCCCCTTCCTCTCCCTCTCTCCCCCCTTCCCTCCCCCTCCCCTCTCCCTCCCTCCTCTCTCTCTCCTCCTCCTCCTCCTCCCCCCACCTACTCCCCTCTCTCTCCCCCCTCCCCTATCTCTCTCCCCCCTCCTCTTTTTCTTTCCCCCTCCTCACTCCCCCCTCCTTTTTCATTCTCCCGCCCCCCCTCCTTTTTCATTTCTCCCCCTCCCCTCTCTCTCTCCCACCCTCCTCCCTCCCCCTTCTCTCTCTCCCACCCTCCTCCCTCCCCCTTCTCTCTCTCCCACCCTCCCCCCCCTCTCTCTCTCTACCCTCATCTCCCCCCCCCCCTCTCTCTTTACATTGTACACAAATCTGACCCAACAAGGTGTCCTGCATTTACCGTATATTTTGCTTCGTAAGACACACTTGGGGGGAAATGTCTGTGCGTCTTATGGAGTGGCTGGCCCAGTATTCCCACCTCCATTGTATGTCCGCAGTCTTTGGTCATCTCATGTACTATGTCCGCAGTCTCTGGTCATCTCCTGTACTGTGTCCACATTTGTTCATAGTTTTTTTTTTTTTTTTTTTTTTTTTTTTTAAACTATAGTCCGACCCTCCAATGGTCTGAGGGACAGTGAACTGGCCCCCTGTTTAAAACGTTTGAGGACCCCTGTTATAGGGGATATTCCCCTATAACAGCATTCCCTGTGATAGCAATAAAAGTGATAAAAAAAAAAAATGAAAGGAGCAGTGTAAAAAATAATTTAAAAAATAAAAATAATTTAAAAAAAAGCACCTTCTCCCTCCCGCGCGCGTGCCCTGCATGTGTGAATGTCAACCCTTAAACATCGGTTGCACCATGCATGTGAGGTATCACTGTGAACGTCAGATCAGGGGCAGTAAATCTAACACTAGATGACCTCTGTAAATCTAACATGGCAGCATGTAAAGGCTTTTAAAGCGTTGGCTATGGATATTAAAAATGGATGCAGTTTGTCACCATTGCACGGGGCATGCGCAGTTTTAAAGCATGTCATGTTTGGTATCTATTTACTGGGCACACCATCATCTTTTATATCGTACCCAATAATTGGCCAATATATATTGTTTTTTTGTACATTAAAAGTAAAAAAAAAGTGTGTTTTTTTTTCGAACAATTTGTGTTTGAAAAATCGATGCATGAGTACTATGTGACATAAAAAATTGCAGCACCCATCATTTTATTTATTAGGGTGTCTACTTTAAAAAAATATATAATGTTTGGGGTTAAAAGTAATTTCCTAGCAAAAAATAGATTTTTTTCATGTGAACAAAAAGTGTCAGAAAAGGCTTGGTCTTCAGGTGGTTAGAAGAGTGAGTGATGTGTGGCATAAACTTCTAATGCTGGGCATAAAATGCCCCCACCCCCCAAAATAACCCCTTTTTGGAAAGTAGACACCCCCAAACTATTTGCTGAGAGGCATGTTGAGTCAATAGAAGAATTTATTTTTTTTTTTACCACACGTTTTTGGAAAATTTGTCACTTAAATGATTTATTTCTCACACATTCCATGGGTATATGTGGAATTACTCCCCAAAATACATTCTTACTTCTGGGGGTACCACATGTGAGAGACTTTTTGGCAGTCTAGCCAAGTCTAAGCACCTTGAGTACTTCCAGACTACCTATCACAGTTGGGTAGCACCAAACCCCCCCCCCCCACAAGTGACCCCTTTTTGGAAAGACAAAAGGATTTTTACATAAGAAGCATGGTGATTTTATTTTTCATATATTTTTCTATATATTTTTTTATATTTCAAAACCTTGTGAGAAAAAAATAGATCTGCAAAATACTCAACATGCCTCTTTTTCAATCCCTTGGGGTATCTACTTTCCAAAAAGGGGTAATTTGGGGGGGTTTGGTGCTATCCTGGCATTTCAGGGCCTCTGAAACTATGATAGATAGTGAGGAAGTTACATACCTTCAGGCTTTCAAAGTGGTCATTGGATTTCAGGTTACTGTATGTGGCTAGGCTCCCAAAAAAGTCTCACACGTGTGGTATCCCCATACTCAGTAGAAGTAGCAGAGTGTATTTTGGGGTGTAATTCCACATATAACCATGGCTTGTGTGATAAATATATCATTTAAATGACAACTTTGTGTGGGAAAAAAAAAAAGTTTTTGTCATTTTCAAAAAACTTGTAGAAAAAAATAAATCTTCTATGGACTCAATGTGCCTCTCAGCAGATAGCTTAGGGTGTCTACTTTCCGAAATGGGGTCATTTGGGGGTGTTTGTACTTTCCTTGTATTTTAGCACCTCAAGAAATGTAATTAGCATTTTTTAGCATTTGTTTTATAGCGCCAAAAATAATAAGCCCACAGGTGATCAAATACCACTGAAAGAAAGCTCTATTTTTGTGGAAAAAAGGACGTAAATTTTAATATATGTACCGTATTGCATGACTGAGCAATTGTCCGTTAAACTAGCGCAGCGCTGTATAGCAAAAAATGGCGTAAATTGCAGTATCTATACCATAGTTTGTAGACGCTATAACTTTCACACAAAGCAATCAATATACACTTACTGGGATTTTGTTTTACCAAAAACATGTAGCAGAATACATTTTGGCCTAAATTTATAACTAACTTTGAGTTTATTATATATTTTTTATAGCCGAAAGCAAAAAATAGTTTTTCTTCAAAAATGTAGGTCTTTTTTTTTTTTTTTTTTTTTTTTTTTTAATAGCGCGAAAAATAAAAAGCGCACAGGTGATCAAATACCACCAAAGAAAAGCTCTATTTGTGTCAAAAAAGGATGTAAATTTTGTTTGGGTACAGCGTTGCATAACCACACAATTATCAGTTGAAATAGTGCAGCGCTGAGTAGCAAAAAGAGGCCTGGGTAAATCCTCTGGAGGGCTAGTGGTTAAAACCAATCTTAAGAAACAAAGATGTTATTTAGCAAGACTTGCGTTTTCTGAAATGCATTTATGGTTGAGCTGTAACGTGACATTTTGTGTTCTCTATTTTCAGCCAAATTATGCCAGCCAGCAGTATGGACCAAGCAGTCAATTTCCCAGTCAGCCTGGGCAGTACCCAAGCCCAAATCCTGCTAGACCCATGACGTCTCCAAATTACCCCGGCCAGAGGATGACAGGACAGCAGAGCACAGGGCAGTACCCACCCCCCAGTGTTGGCATGGGGCAGTATTACAAGGTAACTAATGGTTCTTGCATGACTGTTGGTAAGGAAGATTATGATAGTAATACATCTGATTTGTTTCTCATACTCAATCTTCAAATGCAACACCCTTTCTGTTATCCAAAAACACATTTAACATTTTGGGTTTTTTTTAAATGCGTGAAGTCAGTCCAGCCCTGTAGTACTGCTAATACATCTGCGATAAAGCAGACTCTGAACTGACACATCCCCATCTGCTAAGCCCTGGCAGACCTGTCACTGCCTGACAAGTACGCTGGGCTGGGGGCACAGACTTCTAAGTTGCATGCAGTGACAAGCTTTTGGGAGAAGGCTTTTTCTTGTCACTGTAGAGAATATGGGGAAAGACTGACAGATTGTTTTGATGGCAACCTGGCACCTTTCCTCGGCTCAGTTTTGTGATGAATTTATGTTTTATTCTTTCCATATGTCTAGTTTACAAACCTCAAAGAATCAGGGCAGTTTAAACTCCCAACAGTAAAATGGCAAACACATAAGAAAATTCAGTCTATATTTACAGGGTATCTTTTGCAGACATTTTTTCCGCAACCATCCAGTCTTTTCATGTTGCACTCGATGGTACATACCTTTGCACATTTATGTGAGAATGATTCAGGGTTAGTGTACACAGGGACTTCCTCTGCACCAATGCTCTATATTGTGTATAGTTGCCCGAGTACACCTCTAAACAATTCTGTGTGTATTGCAAACTGCTCTGTGCAAATGGAATTCACACTGAAAAAGTGCCTGTGTACACTAATCTTTACAGCGTGAGAGGGTTCTGCTTGTAGTAATTGAGAATTACTGCTGTCAATGTCTGTACTCTGATTAATAGGGATCTCTTTCTCTTCATTCTGCCCAAGACTAATTCTGGAAATTTTATTAAGGGGAATGTTCACATTCAGAAGAATTTGCCAGCTTCTGCATACCTTTGTGTAAAGTCAGCCATACACTGGTCGAATTCCAAAAGAATTTTCTTTTGAAAATCTTTTCTAAGAATTTTCGTTCATATTTCACACCATTAGTGGGTCACAGAAACGGCCGGTTTTCAGGTGGACATCGAATTTGATTGATCGGGCATGTTGGAAATGTTTTGAAAAATGACCAAATTTCGAATCAATGATGGGAGAATCATGCGAGAAATATAAACAAAAATAAATGAGCGTGAGCTGTGACCTGGAAAATTATTTTCTGTAGCAACGTGAGGTGAAATTGAAGGCTTGGTTGAATTTCAAAATCAATGGTGGCACCATCGGATTACAAAACGCACAAATTTCTGATTTTCTAAAGAAACAATTGAGTACTGTCCGTGATACTTTTTTTATTTGCACTAACATACAATTTTGAGGACAAGCTTTCGGGGTATGTCCCCTTCTTCAAGGTCTAAGCAGTACTATTACAAATCACAAAGTTTAAGCAGAATGTTAGAATGGATTGAGAGAAAAAAAAAAAAAAAAAAGGGCTACAGATAAGATACATCAAAAGTGAGGGGGGGGAGGGGGGATACAACACTCACACAGAGGGGGTCAAGTTTTAGCTAATAGATAGTCATAAAGCTGTCGGATAGTGGTTGAGGAATCCCATGTCCAAATTAAGACCGTTATCTTTAGTGTCAAATAGAATTATCATTCTTAGTTCAAATGTTTTTCTTTCCTGGATGGATTTAAATTTTCCTTTCAGAACTAAAATATTGAGGTCTTCCATATTGTGGCCTGGTTGTGAGAAATGGTGTCCCACAGGTGTGCAGAGGTCATCTTCTTTATGTTCCTTGATGGTATGTCTGTGTAAATTCATCCGTGTTTGCAACCTCTGTCCTGTTTCACCAACATAAGATCCTTTGCTGCATTTTCTGCACTGGATAAGGTATACAACATTACTGGAGGTGCAGTAAGGTGCGGAGATATTGAAGATCCCTTTTGAGTGTCTGACACTTTTTGATGGATTGATTTGGTTGCACAGCTTGCAGCGTTTCTTATTGCAGGCTTTGCTTCCATTATTTGTGGCATCATAATCAGAAGGAAGTTTCCTACTGATTAGTTTATTTCTGAGGTTGGGGGGGGTTGTCTGAAAGCCAGTATTGGGGGTTGCTGGAATATTTCTTTCAGAGTTCCATCCTCTGTTATGATGGGTTGTAAATCTTTGATTATTTTTCTTATCCCTTCTAGTGCCGGGTTGTATGTGGTTACTAGAGGTACACGGTTGTTTGTTTTTTTTCTCTTTGTACTGAAGCAGATTTTCCCTTCGGGTTCTCAAGGCTGTGTTTATGCTGGTGTTGATAGTTTTGTCCTTGTAACCTTTCTTATGGAAGGTGTCTGCTAGTGTCCCAAGATGTTTATCTCTGTCTCTTGGGTCAGAACATACTCGGTGGTATCTGATGGCCTGACTGTGTATGATGGCACGTTTCGTGTGTTGGGGGTGGAAGCTAGAACTGTGGAGGTAGTTGCATCTGTCAGTGGGTTTCCTGTATATTGAGGTGTGAAGCGTATCATCCCTGATGTATATTGTGGTGTCTAGGAAGTTGACGTGTGTGTGTTTGAGTATTCCATTTTTAGTTTGATTGATGGATGAAAAGTGTTCATCAATGAGTAAAATTGTTTTAGATTTTCTTCACCTTCCGTCCATATGATGAAAATATCATCAATATAGCGAAAGTATCTGTATGGTTTTTGTTCCATGCTGTTCAGGAATTGTTCCTCCATGTCAGCCATAAATAAATTTGCATATTGGGGTGCCATTTTACTTCCCATCGCAGTGCCCATACATTGAAGATAGATGTCCTTATTGAAAGCAAAGTAGTTGTGTGTAAGTATGAATTCAATGAGCTGTGTAACATCCTCAGCAGTGTATTTGTTGTTTGGTGAGGATGATAAGGATCTGTGACATGCAGCTAATCCATCCTTGTGAGGGATATTACTATACAGGGATACTACATCCATAGTCACTAGAAGTGTATTAGATGGTAATTGCTGGATGTTGTTGATCTTGTTCAGAAAGTCAGTTGTGTCTTGCAGGAAACTAGCAGTATTCATGACTAACACCTGTGGGACACCATTTCTCACAACCAGGCCACAATATGGAAGACCTCAATATTTTAGTTCTGAAAGGAAAATTTAAATCCATCCAGGAAAGAAAAACATTTGAACTAAGAATGATAATTCTATTTGACACTAAAGATAACGGTCTTAACTTGGACATGGGATTCCTCAACCACTATCCGACAGCTTTATGACTATCTATTAGCTAAAACTTGACCCCCTCTGTGTGAGTGTTGTATCCCCCCCTCCCCCCCTCACTTTTGATGTATCTTATCTGTATCCCCTTTTTTTTTTTTTTTCTCTCAATCCATTCTAACATTCTGCTTAAACTTTGTGATTTGTAATAGTACTGCTTAGACCTTGAAGAAGGGGACATACCCCGAAAGCTTGTCCTCAAATTGTATGTTGGTGCAAATAAAAAAAGTATCACGGACAGTACTCAATTGTTTCTGTCGCAAATGCACTAATACGGCTACAATCACCTCAAGCAAAATGATTTTCTAAAGAAAATTCATTCGTATATTGACCAATATATGGCATGCATTACTTTACAAATATTTCAGTCTTGTGGCTATATAGCTTTTTAATGATGCTTTGGGACACAACCCAGACAGAGCTACTTGGGTTGTATGTTTTTTTTTTTTTTTTTTGTTTTTTTTATCCACTGCAGAGATCTGCAGTGTTAAAGTTCTGCCCTTATGTAAAGGAAGCCACAGCTTTGCTGTAATAAAAACTTTACCACTGAGATAAATATGTGTTAGGAGATATAGAATATGAGAGTTATATTCTGCCATGCAGTTATATTTATTCCCCCCTCCCAAATAATATATACACAACTGAATGTGAATTAAGACCTGTTCTAATGAGTTACAAATATTTTAAATTGACAGCTGTCCTGTGATCATCAAATAATCCCACTTGTGCATCTAGATGAATAGCTGTAGCCACATGTAAATTCAAGCTTGAATCTTTATATCCAATATTGGACAGGCCCCTTCTTAAAAGTTCGTCTCAAATCATATTTTCTAAGCTGCTTTTCATTCTAGTATTTTTTTTCCTCATTATTTTTGTACATTTTTTTAATTCATGATTATTATTATTTTTCTAATAGCCAGAGCAGTTTAATGGACAAAATAACAACTTTTCTGGGAGCGGCTACAATAGCTATAGCCAAAGCAGTATGAACGGGGTGAGTGTGCCTTCATACCAAATCAATCATCCACTATTTTACCAGTTTGGGTGGCTAAGAGGGTGATTTCTGTTTCTAAAATCTTCTGAAGGAGAATGATCATTTTTGGCATATTGTTAGCATTACATATAACTGGACATTTCTCTACATTGTAAAGCAGATGATTACATTACAGTTTTATTTTGTCAGCTGTAAGTCTTCTCAAGAGTCAGCTGTAATGGTGGCTGCTCTCTTCTGTGGAAAGTTCAGATTGGTTGTTTTTAATAATCCTAATCTAGGATCCATCCGGTCCCGTACTGCCCTGCTGATGCTCTCTTTACTTTGCCCACTAGATTGTTTTGTAGAGGTGGATTTTTTAAGTGCGCCTGCACTTTGCTCATGCAGAGCAAAGCAACATGTTCACTCTATTGACACCCCCCCCTCCCCCAGCTGCATACACTTTCCTGCCCTGTCCATTCAGCCACCAGGGGCAAAGATGGGAAGCGTCACATGGGGCCTAAGATGCTGGGTTAATCAGCTATCGCCAGGTGAGAATATCCTGCTGAGGTGTGGGACTTTATGGAAAATCTGTTCTGGTGCCATGCATGGGCAAAACTGGTTATATACACAAACCTGTTTCTCCATGAGAGAGCAATGAAAGGAACACAGAGCCTAGAGTTTACTCTTCCCAAATTCCAGCCAAACTGAATTTTCTGAGTTTTGGCTAAGGTTTGACTTTTTTTTTTGTATTATATTAAATCTCAGTGTTAATGTTTACTTCTGCTTCCTGCAGTATGCTCACAAGCCATTTGTGGGTTCACATTTATACTTTTGACATGTATGATAATAGAATTTTTTTTATGATAGTATGTATAAACAGTTATAGACCCTCACACTGCAGCAGCATTGTTATTACTATATCCCTGTATCAGAGTATACATCGCAGTCACTTCACCCCAGACTCTCTGAAGCCATGCAATGTGTACTGACTGCAGAGTACAAATAAACCTTGCCAAATGTCGCTGCTGGAGTGTTTTTTGTACAAATCAGCTATGGCTGGGAAGCTGATTGTAAGTGATTTTTCTCACTTGCAATGCGTAAATGGATATCTTTTAATTTGTTTTCATTGTTGTTTGCAGATTACGGTATGTAGCTAATTTATATGTTCTATAAACTTGGTTACTTAGTATTTTCATGTCTGTTTACTTGCATATGTCAATTTTACTGGGAGTGAAATACAAATCAGCTTTTCTTGAACCTATCCTTAAAGTGCACCTCTACCAAAATAGACTTTTCTAGTTTTACTTTTATCATGGTGAAAAGTTAGAACCTTCTTCAGATTTTTATTGCTGTCTGTGTGCCTGTTGGGGAAGATTCTCTCTCACTTTCTATCCTGGTGACCAACAGTACAAAGGAAATACAATATTTTAAAGATGTCACCAGAGCAGGGGAAGAGGGGTACTCACCCAGTGGTGACACCTGTCAAAGATGAGACGTCCCCTCACTTTTGGGGAGATAGTAGTGGCAAGAATAAAAACCTTACAGCACTTCTAACGCTACCCAACTACATTTTAACTTGGAAAAAAAAAATTTTGGGTGTACGTTTCACTCTAACTTTATATACACTATATTGCCAAAGGTATTGGGACATCTCTCCAAATCATTGGATTCAGGTGTTCCAATCACTTCCATGGCCACAGGTGTATAAAATCAAACACCTAGGCATGCAGACGGCTTCTACAAACCTTTGTGAAAGAATGGGTCGCTCTCAGGAGCTCAGTAAATTCAAGCATGGTATCATGATAGGTTGCCACCTGTGCAATAAGTCCATCCATGAAATTTCCTTGCTACTAAATATTTCACGGTCAACTGGTAGTGGTATTATAACAAAGTGGAAGCAACTGGGAACAACAGTAACTCCACATAAGGCCACATAAAATGACAGTGTCGGGTCAGCGCATGCTGAAGCGCACAGTGTGCAGAAGTTGCCAACTGTCTGCAGAGTCAACAGATAGAGACCTTCTGACTTGGTGTGGCCTTCAGATTAGCACAGCAGTGTGTAGAGAGCTTCATAGAATAGCTTTCCATGGCCAAGCAGCTGCATCTAAGCTTTACATCACCAAGTGCAATGCAAAGTGTAGGATGCAGTGGTGTAAAGCACGCCGCCACTGGACTCTAGAGCAGTGGAGATGTATTCTCTGGAGTGACAAATCATGCTTCTCTGGCAATCTGATGGACATGTCTGGGTTTGGCGGTTGCCAAGAGAACAGTATTTGCCTGACTGCATTGCGCCAAGTGTAAAGTTTGGTGGAAGGAGGATTATGGTGTGGGTTTTTTTTGTTTTCCAGAGGTTGGACTTGGCCCCTTAGTTCCAGTGAAGGGAACTCTTAAGGCGTTTGCATACCAAGACATTTTGTACAATTTCATGCTCCTGACTTTGTGGGAACAGTTTGGGGATGGCCCCTTCCTGTTCCAACATGACTTCGCACCAGTGCACAAAGCAAGGTCCATAAAGACATGGATGAGTGAGTTTGGGGTGGAGGAACTTGAGTCCTGACCTCAACCCGATAGAACACCTTTGGGATGAATTAGAGCAGAGATTGCGAGCCAGGGCTTCTCATCCAACATCAGTGCCTGATCTCACAAGTGCGCTTTTGGAAGAATGGTCAAACATTATTATTATTATGCTACAGTATTTATAAAGCGCCAACAGTTCGCTCAGCGCTGTACATTACAAAGGGAGACAGAACATGCGACAGTACAATAACAATAAACATTCCCATAGACACACTCCTAAACCTTGTGGACAGCCTTCCAAGAAGAGTTGAAGCTGTTATAGCTGTAAAGGGTGGGCCAACTCAATATTGAACCCTACAGACGAAGACTGGGAGGCCATTAAAGTTGATGTGTGTGTAAAGGCAGCCGTCCCAATACTTTTAGCAATATAGTTTATGTTGTGGATATCCTCACATGTAGTTTAATCACATTCCCAGACAAAAAATTACCCCAGTCTGAGCATTTGCGAGGTTTCCTGTAAAACAAACACTGTTGGTGGGACCTGAGCACAGGTTTAAGAAGAGTCTAAACAGAGTGATGATTCCTCCGTATTGCCAGTTTCCCTCTCCCTCCATCAGTCTGCTTAGCAGGACACTCAAAATTAAATAATGTATTTTCATTACATTTATGCATTCTCAAAAAATTTACAGCTAACCAACAGTAATAAATATTAGCAGCCACAGAACAGTGGAGGAAATGTATCCTTATGAAGCACAGTTTACTTTATGCGGTAACTTACCAAACATAGCCTTATAGATTCTGAGGGGTCACTACTGACATCCATTCATGTCTGCTTCTTTTTCTCTCAAAATACCAACAGACCATCATCATAGACATAGACTTGCATGCTCACAAGATTATACTGTGTCAAAACGAGTCAGTAGTGGATATTATTACAGAAAGGATGTTGTGGTGGTGTCTGGTTTATGTTTGCATCAGGACACAGGAGTTGAGCTGTGCCCCTTTACTGTATACTGTATATCCCTGTGCAATGCCATCTGCTTCTGTACTTAAGCAGCACTTTACAAAAAAACTAAGCATACAAGTATCTGTGACTGATTATTTATTAAATATAAATAAACAGCGCAAACATAGACCTCTATATCAAATCAATATATAAAGTGCAAACATATATAGAAAATTATATTATTAGTGAAAGTCCATCATGATAATAGACAACAAAAGTTCATAAATCTCAAAAAATTTGTGCAAAAAAGATCAAAAATTCTTCTAATGCTAAGAAAACGTCCACCTTCCACCCGTGCAAACCAACATCAAATGCACTCACCAGATTTAGGTGAATGAAACGCCTTTTAGGAATTTTTTATGGGATCCTAAACCCTCTTTCGTATCCACTCTATAGGAATCCTCACCTTCAGTATAGGCTCCACCATCCAACCGGGGAGAAAATATCTCAGATAGTGTGATATTGCAAAATACCGTTTTTAAATAAAATCAAGGATTAAGGCCACTTACATTATCCTTGATTTTATTTAAAAACGGTATTTTGCTTATTTTGTTTTATTCATTATAACTGGAAAATAATTTGCAATAGGTAATATTTACTAAAACTGACATTATCATGGACTTTAGACTAGAGAAGCCAACAATGCCATCATTAAAATTGATTTTCATGAATTTCATGTCTTCTGCAGCCCTCCAGACCGGGCCCTGTTGGAAATTACCCCCACTCACCTGTTCCGGGAAACCCCACACCACCTATAACACCTGGCAGCAGTATCCCCTCATACTTGTCACCCAGTCAAGATGTCAAGCCTCCATTTCCTCCAGACATCAAGCCAAACATGAGTGCTTTACCTCCACCACCAAGTAAGTGTTTTGCTGATGCATACCATTCTTTAAAAATAATGGTTAAACATCTTATTTTCTTTATTGTCCACTTAGAGACTCAGCTTGATGATATTTAAGCAAACTAGAGTTATACTGCCACCTAAAAAAGAAAGGGACACTGGGCACATAGAAAACTAAAGTTCAGTCCCCTTGAAACAATAACCCATCTCACCTTACACCAGCCCAGATGCTCTTCTTGTGCCCAGGAGAATGGATGTCTACTTCCTATCTGCTCTATTTCTTCTATATTTGAGATCATAGAAGTCCTTCCAGTTAGCAAATGAGCACAAGTTTTCCCAGTTAATTCTTATACTCAAACCACCTTTTGACTTGGTTCTGTTTTGTAAGCTGTGCTCTGGCAGACAGGCATGGTTTTCTGCCCAATCTTGTGGATTTCCTGCCTCTCCTTCTCTGAGGGCAGTACTTGATGACATGCAGCACAATAGTTAGTGTGATTGTACCTGAACCTTTCCTCTCTGAGCGGCTTTGTCTGAGACTGACTCGTAGTTAACACTTCCCTGTAATTGTAGACTTCAGCTATCGGGGTGCTCTCCACTGTGTTATTCCTGCAGCAACAGCTCTAGTGGGGTATGTTCTGCTAAAAGAACGCTTTCTGCTGTATTTTTTGCAACACAACAGCAACAGCAGCCCTAGAGGGTGCTCTCTGCAGTGTTATTCCCAACACAGAAATCCTAGAGAGGTACACTGTATAACACTGCACATCAGCTTATGAAGGGACACAACTGTGTATGTTCAGCGATGGAGCATCATGCCACAATTCTGTATGAACTACTGCAACAAGCCTTTTCTCTTCTGCTGTCAGGGACACAGTGGGTGATGACAACACATCATGTGGTTATTGTGCGCCACCTACAGTGACAGTGGTCACATAGTTATGCCTCCACAACTGCCCTTGCATATTTCTGTGAGTTATTATTTCTGCAGTAGTTATATGTATTTAAGGTGCATGTCTGCAGCTGTAGAGCAGCCTTCTGTTAAAGTGAAATTAATACCCTTAGTTTTTTAAGCACTCTCAGCCGCAGATATAATCACTTACTGAGTATGCAGCTGCGTCATCTTCTATCCTTGTCAGTTTTCCTGTTCAAGCTATTGCATGAACACTGCCCTGGGTTTCCTGTTTCAGGGTGGCTCCTGTCTCTTCCTGCATCCTATGGTGTCACAATTGCATGCTGGCATCAGAGTTGTGTCTCCTTACACTGTAATCATCACAACCCCATAGCCTAAGATGGCAAGGCACTCCCCTGCATCTCCCTCCTCCTCCCTTCTCCAAGATAACAGACTGGCTCTAGACTGCACTGTCCACTGTTCACTCTTTCCTCTGAAGAATGGAAATTCAGGGAGGCAGCATTGACAGTTGTAAACTGCATATGCTGGGGAGAGAATTTTAACACATAGTTTACTTTGAGTGCTACTTCTCTTAAGCATTCTGATTCTGGTGGGGATTTTCCAGAGGAATCATTGTCAAATGCTGAGTACCTCACTTCTTTGGTGTAGGAGATTCCACTAGCTGAATTTCAGTCAGCAGTTTTTCCACCAAAACAGAAAGAAGTCTGTTTCTTTTTGTAAACGTGGCTGTGCATTTAAGCTTAAAATTAGAGGATTCTGTTGTTCTTCCTCTTCCTTCATGTCCAGACTTGGTTTTCTTAACCCGTAGATTCCACTCTCTCTTACAGCTCAGCATTCTGCAAGAGCGAAAGTGAGCAGATTGCGCATAAAATGGTGGGAAACAAAACCTAGTGCTCATTCATTAGTTTGATGCACCTGAAAAAGTAAGCATTCTTTTACAAAATGGAGCGCCACATCCTCCAGGACACTCTAATGCATAGAGAGGTTTTTTGGCAAAAGTAAATAAAGATAAATTAACTTTTTAAAGGTTCTCATTGCCTGTGTGTCATCAACAATTACAGATCGAATCGATTCGATCAGCTATTACCTCCCTCTGCTACACAGACTACGTAACATCCATTGACTTAGAGGAAACATATAAACACATTCTTTTCCTCCAGGTCATCAGCAATTTACAACAGCCACTGTCATTTTGTGGCTCTTCCCTATGGCTTTGCCTCGACCTGTCATTTTTACTGGACATGTTTATTAGCAAAAAGTCCAAAATATTGTTTTTTTTTTTTAAATTGTCAGTCTTTTTTTTTTTTTTTTTTCTTTTTAAAGAGCAAAAAATACAAAACGCACAGGCGATCAAATACCACCAAAAGAAAGCTCATTTAGTGGGAAAAAAGACCTAAATTTAATTTGGGTGCAGCGTTGCATGACCGTGCAATTTTCAGTTAAAGTAACGCAACACCATAAAGCAAAAAATGGCCTGGTCAGGAAGGGGGTAAATCCTCTGGAGGGCAAGTGGTTAATTCCCTTACATTGCTTGTGACTTGTACATTCTCCTGGATACGCCTCTTCCTGCTCCTCAGGAAGTTATCAACACTGCCAAGTCAGGTTCAACCACTTCAATTCCACTGTTGGTCTTTGCAAAGCTGCATGCTAGTGCAGGAATTCATGGATTCCACCTTTTGAAGTGGTTCTATTTACTCAGTTCCACTCAAGAATCTTGTAGCTGCACTTTCTCACTGCATTAGGCAAACAAAATCTGTTTCTAGACAAGATGAAATCGTTATTAAGATGTCTCCATCATGGTTGCTTCTGTCCCTTGAGGATTGTCATGGCGGATTGCCAGTCTTCTGGGTTGGGGAGAAGTTCTGCTCCTATGTCTGTTTAGGGTTGTTGGTCTCAAGCACAATCGATGCTTTCAATCAACATCCAAGTTCATTCAATAATTAGCGGACACTCTGTGGTATCTACCAGATTGCCCAGATCTGTAAGTCCATGGTCTGATATTCCACCCTGTATCTCATTTGCTGGCTTTGATGACCTGGCTGTTGAAACCCAGGTTCAGAGAGAGGGCATTTCAGAATCCGTTTCCCTGACTATATTTAAAACTCGTCAACCTGCTTTCCTGCAAAGTGTATCAATGAACACTGAAGACTTCCTTTCACTGGTGTGAGTCCACATGCTCTCCATGAGCCATGTTCTTTTGTTTTTACAGTTGAGTGTAGAACAACCGTTCATCCTCCTCGCCCTCTTTTTTCCATTTTTCTTGCTATTCTTTTTCTGATTCGTTCTTTTGTGGAGTTACAACACCTCTGTTAGGCCTACTTTCCAAATGTGGGATTTACATTTAGTAATGTTGGTGATGACACACAACCCTCCTTTTGAACCAATCTTGAATATCTCCTTGGTGTTATTATCCATAAGGTGGCCTTTCTTGTGCCAATCATTTAGACCAGAAGATTTTCTGTGTTGTTAGAAGGTTGTTTGGCACAACAAACGTCCTTTTAATCCACAGTGGTTTCTGCATTTCACTTTAACCGCTTTCCTGCAGCCCTATAGTAGATATACTGCTGCAGGGCAGCAGGGGCGTGTGTGTGTGTGTGTGTGTGTGTGTGTGTGTGTGTGTGTGTGTGTGTGTGTGTGTGTGTATATACAGTCAGGTCCATAAATATTGGGACATCGACACAATTCTAACATTTGTGGCTTTATACACCACCGCAATGGATTTGAAATGAACTCAAACAAGATGTGCTTTAAGTGCAGACTGTCCGCTTTAATTTGAGGGCATTTACATCCAAATCAGGTAAACGGTGTAGGAATTACAACAGTTTGCATATGTGCCTCCCACTTGTTAAGGGACCAAAAGTAATGGGACAATTGGCTTCTCAGCTGTTCCATGGCCAGGTGTGTGTTATTCCCTCATTATCCCAATTACAATGAGCAGATAAAAGGTCCAGAGTTCATTTCAAGTGTGCTATTTGCATTTGGAATATGTTGCTGTCAACTCTCAAGATGAGATCCAAAGAGCTGTCACTATCAGAGAAGCAAGCCATCATTAGGCTGAAAAAAACAAAACAAACCCATCAGAGAGATAGCAAAAACATTAGAAGTGGCCAAAACAACTGTTTGGAACATTCTTAAAAAGAAGGAACGCACCGGTGAGCTCAGCAACACCAAAAGACCTGGAAGACCACAGAAAACAACTGTGGTGGATGAGCGAAGAATTCTTTCCCTGGTGAAGAAAACACCCTTCACAACAGTTGGCCAGATCAAGAACACTCTCCAGGAGGTAGGTGTATGTGTGTCAAAGTCAACAATCAAGAGAAGACTTCACCAGAGTGAATACAGAGGGTTCACCACAAGATGTAAACCATTGGTGAGCCTCAAAAACAGGAAGGCCAGATTAGAGTTTGCCAAACAACATCTAAAAAAGCCTTCACAGTTCTGGAACAACATTCTATGGACAGATGAGACCAAGATCAACTTGTACCAGAGTGATGGGAAGAGAAGAGCATGGAGAAGGAAAGGAACTGCTCTGATCCTAAGCATACCACCTCATCAGTGAAGCATGGTGGTGGTAGTGTCATGGCGTGGGCATGTATGGCTGCCAATGGAACTGCTTCTCTTGTATTTATTGATGATGTGACTGCTGACAAAAGCAGCAGGATGAATTCTGAAGTGTTTCGGGCAATATTATCTGCTCATATTCAGCCAAATGCTTCAGAACTCATTGGACGCTGCTTCACAGTGCAGATGGACAATGACCCAAAGCATACTGCAAAAGCAACCAAAGAGTTTTTTAAGGGAAAGAAGTGGAATGTTATGCAATGGCCAAGTCAATCACCTGACCTGAATCCGATTGAGCATGCATTTCACTTGCTGAAGACAAAACTGAAGGGAAAATGCCCCAAGAACAAGCAGGAACTGAAGACAGTTGCAGTAGAGGCCTGGCAGAGCATCACCAGGGATGAAACCCAGCATCTGGTGATGTCTATGTGTTCCACACTTCAGGCTGTAATTGACTGCAAAGGATTTGTAACCAAGTATTAAAAAGTGAAAGTTTGATTTATGATTATTATTCTGTCCCATTACTTTTGGTCCCTTAACAAGTGGGAGGCACATATGCAAACTGTTGTAATTCCTACACCGTTCACTTGATTTGGATGTAAATACCCTCAAATTAAAGCTGACAGTCTGCGGTTAAAGCATATCTTGTTCGTTTCATTTCAAATCCATTGTGGTGGTGTATAGAGCCAAAAATGTTAGAATTGTGTCAATGTCCCAATATTTATGGACCTGACTGTATATACATATATATGTAAACAATACAGTTCTCTCCCGTCAGCTCCAGCACACTGCTTTGTATGGCTCTGAATAGCAGAGCCATACAAAGCACCGTGCTTACAGTTGAAAACACTAACATATCACACAGTAAAACAGCACACAGTTAACCCTTTGATTGTCTCAGATGTTAACCCCTTCCTGCCCAGTGCCATTAGTACAGTGTCAGTGTTTTTTTTTACTAGCACTGATCCCTGTATTCGTGTCACTGGGGATGTTAGTGACACCAAGTTAGTTCCCCCCAGTGTCAGAATGCCCGCCGCAGTCTCACAATAAGTCGCTGATTGTCGCCATTACTAGTTAAAAAAAAAAAAAAAATCCCAGTATATATACCGCCATTTGTCAACGCTATAACTTTCACATAAACCAACTAATTTACGCATATTGAGATTTTTTTTTTTTTTTTTTTTTTTTTAGCAAAGACATGTAGCAGAATACATTTAGGCCTAAATTTATGACAAAATTTGATTTTTGAAGTTTTTTTTTACTGGACATGGTTAATGGCAAAAAGTCAAAAATATTGTTTGTTTCTCAAAATTGTTGGACTTTTTTTCTTATAGCACAAAAAAAATAAAAAGTGCACAGGCGATCAAATACCACTGAAAAAAAGCTCTTTTTGTGGGAAAAAAAGTATGTAAATTTAATTTTGGTGCAGCGTTGCATGACTGCGCAAGTGTCAGTTAAAGTAATGCAACGCCGTAACGCAAAAAAATGGCCTATTCAGGAAGGGGGGTAAATCCTCTGGAGGGCAAGTGGTTAAAAAGGAGATTTTGCCAGGTTGCCTAGTTATCATCAAGGTATGTCCCTAAATGGACCATAGAGAAAATAGAATATTTGTACTTACCATAAACATTTTTTTTTATGGCCTCCATTGAGGGACACTGCTAAATCACCCCATATATTATATGTTCTCTCTTGGCCTTCTTGCTACAACAGAGCAGGTTGTGAGGTTGGAAGTATATATCCTCAAAGGGGCGGTCTAGTTCTCTATGTTCCCAGTGTCCATTTCTTCTGATGGGCAGCAATATAACCCTAGGTTGTTTAACATCAAACTGTGTCCCTCAATGGACTCCAAGAAAAGAATTCTACGGTTAGCATACAATTCCTATTTTTATATTAGTTTGTGAACTTGGCAGGCAAATATAAGCAAATGATGTAAACCTAATTTCATACAGTGCTAATGTATGATGAATGTGTGACAGATGGAAAGCAAACCCCACAACACTCCAAATTGATTTACTTTAGAAATATTTATGCCTTTAGTAAGAATAACCCTCAGCTCCCAAGTGCTGTTATAAGTAGATTGTCTCACCAGTTAGCAACACTGAAAGCTAATATAGACCCCAGGGCTGAGAACATTTCTGGGCTTTCCCTCTCCTTTGCTTAAAGGCAATTTCCCTACTGCTTTGACTGCTGCAGCATAGTTAGCTGATGCAGGACAGAAGCTTTCTTTGGTCTCTCTGTAAGCTGCACACTGCTACTTTGCATCACTTCATGTCTACTCTTGGGATGCAGCATGCTTTGCTTTGTCCTAAGTTTCAACTCTCAGACAGGAAAATATCTGAAAGTAACAGTCTGTGACACACACACACTATCTGAATCCAGATAACTGGCAATGGCTGTTTTAGACTTGAGAGACTGTGCCCTGAAGTCATTGTGCCTTCCATTAGCAACTCAACTGATTATCAATTTTTCTTTATGGTTTGAAAGAGGTTTTGTGACCACAGTGTCACCTGTAGCAGGTGATGTACAAGTCACATGAACAGTACTCAGCAGTAGTGCTGTGACTTCTGTACCTACACAGTGCTCAGTACCCCAACAGATTTGTCAGAAAACCTTTCCTTTCCTTACAGAATCAACATTTTCTGTGGGGCACTATACCACAAAATACTCCCACAAATACAGGCAAATTGATTGCAAACAAGATTTGTTAATTTGCACACAAAGTATTTTTCCTAACAAATTAATTCAAGACCATGTTGCAAAAATGAATACACCCCAATGAAAGTCTTAGGAGCAAAGCTAAATTTTAGACAACAAAATCCTAATGAACAAGAATTCAACTATTGGTGAGTCTAATTATTTAATATACAGTTGTTCAACAGACAGCTGATTATAAAAGGGCATTACTTAACAAAGAAAACCCCTTCCCATTTCATGCTGTCAGAAATGGAACCGCATGGAAGAGAAATGTCACAAGGGCTGAGAAAGAAAATAATTTCTTTACACAAGAAAGGTGAAGGCTACAAGAAGATCAGCAAAGTTATCCGTCAGAATGCCGTAGCAAAAGTGGTACAAAAATGTAACAAAGATGGAACTGCAACCGTCTCACAGAGACATCCAGGCCATCCACAGACGTTAACACCTCGACAGGAGCGTCTTCTGATGAGAAGGGTTGAAGAAAATCACCATGCAAGTTCACTGCAGGTAGCTAAAGAAGTAGAAAGCCAAAGTGGGGAGATTGTTTCCTGTGACACAATATGGCATACACTGCAGAGGAATGGCATTCATGGGAGTTGCCCACAAAGAAAGCCTCTGCTAAAGCCCATGCACAAAAAGGCCCACTTAGAATTTGCTGGGGCCCATGCTGAAAAAGAAGACTACTGGGACTCTGTACTCTGGAGTGATGAGACCAATATAAATGTCTTTGGAACTGATGGCTTCAAAACTGAATGGTGTTGCAAAGGTGAGGAGTACAAAGAAAAATGCATGGTGCCTACAGTGAAACATGGTGGTGGCAGTGTCCTCCTGTGGGACTGCATGAGTGCTGCTGCTGGTGACGGGGAGCTGCATTTCATTGATGGTATCATGAATTTGCAGATGTACTGCTCTATATTGAAAGAGAAGATGCTACCATCACTCCATAATCTTGGTTGTTGTGCACTTTTCCAACATGAAAATTATCCAAAATCTAAGGCCACTGTTGCATTTCTGAAGAAGAACAGGGTGAAAAGTGATTCAGTGGCCAAGTATGTCTCCTGATCTGAACCCAGTCAAACCCCTATGGAGAATTCTGAAGAGACAAGTTGAGGATCACTCTCCAACCGGCTCTGAAAAAGGTTGTTCTTGGAGAATGGAAAAAAGATGTTGCAATATGTCGCTGACTTGTTAATCTTCTGCCTAGCAGACTTGGTGCTGTCCTTACAAATCATGGAGGTCATACAGAATACTAGATGTAGTAGTAGAAGTAGTAGATGTCGTAGTTTTTGTTGTGGGGTATATTCATTTTTACATCATCTAATGTGAGTAAAACTGAAGATTCTGTAATCTAATATATTATTAACCTTACTTTCATGTAATGAGCTAAGCAAATGTTCTATAAAACTCAGTTTTGTCAAAATTGTGGAAATTGTTCTTGTGTTCATTGAGATATTGATTAAAAATCTTACTTTTCAAAAGTGGTGTACTCATTTATGCTGAGCACTGTATGTTGACTGTGAACAATGGGGTACACTGCCCACACACCTTGTTCCTTTTATTTATTTGTGAACACATGCTTCCAGGTTCATCATACAGTGTTATTTTTGTTATATTTGCAAGTTGTTCTTGGGTTCCTAATGTTGCTGCTTCAGTGACCCTTTAGGGGTCTCTGGTCCCCTGAGCTTTGCTTACGCCTTTTTACATTGTCGCACTGCAGATGCAAAAGGGAAAGTTCACACTTTCTCTCCTTCTTCGATCTCAGCCAGCCACACAGATGAACTTCGTCTGACGTTTCCTGTGAGGGATGGAGTAGTATTGGAGCCCTTCCGATTGGAACACAACCTAGCCGTGAGCAATCATGTGTTCCACTTACGACCGACCGTCCATCAGACCCTCATGTGGAGGTAAGTAACCTAGCTGTGCTGTGCTTATTCAGTGAAAAACAATGTTAAACGGGACCCCTGCTCTTTAAAGAGAAATTGTAGGGGTTTTAGGTTAACTTCAGTTTAATTTGTTTTGAATGTCTATAAAGTGAAATTGTGCTTGTGTAAAATACATCTTTTTTTAAATTTTGGATAGAGTAAGGGAGATTTATAACACCTGTCAGGTTTTCTTGTTGTTGTTTTGCTGTGTCCCATTGGGGAGATTTACCTTCACTTCCTGTCCCATAGCCAAAACAGGAACTGAGTAAATCACTGCAAATTAAAGGAATCCCTTGGGCCCCCCAGGTCACTAGAACTAGTATCTCCATTGGAAGATATATCCTTTTATTAATTTTCTGGTGACGACCCAAAATTTGGTACTTTCTTTTACTTTCACTTTCAATGGTAATTGTGAACAGGACAAACAGAAACCGTGACCCTCCCTAACAGGGGCATAGGCATGATAAGGACCTGACAGATGTTCTAATCCATTTCCCCACCTACACCACCTCCCTCCATGCCGCCAAGCAAGCCTAATTCGTAACCCTTATCAACACCCTCTCCACCTGTCCTCGTCGGCTCTTCTCCACTTTCAAATCCCTTCTCTCTCCCCCCTCCCCCCCACCTCCACTTAGCACCTCACTCACCGCCCACGAGATTGCCAATAATTTCCAAAACAAGATTGACGCAATCCGTAAGGACATTGTCAATTCACAATCTACCTCTCCACCCAGCCTCCCGCCCTCCTACAACCCCTCTACCCTCCCCTCCTCCAACCTCATAGCCGCACTACCCCCCGCTAAGCCTAACCCCCCCCGCGCACTATCACCTCCCCAACACTCCACTCCGTCAACCCAACTACCCCTGAGGAGGTCTCTAAGGTCTTCACTGAAGCCCGCCTCACCACCTGCCCCCTGGACCCTATCCCCTCACAGCTCCTCCAGTCAACCCCCCCCCCCCTCCATCATTCGCTCCCTCACCCACATCTTCAATCTCTCACTCTCCACTGGCAATTTCCCCTCCCCTCTAAAGCACGCATACATCACCCCCATACTCAAAAAACCCTCCCTTGACCCCACTGACCTTAACAACCTTAGACCCATCTCCCTGCTACCATTCACTTCCAAGCTCCTTGAGCGCCTGGCCTACAATTGCCTAAGCGCCCACCTCACTAATAACAACCGCCTTGACCCTCTACAGTCTGGCTTCCATCCCCTGCACTCCACCGAAACCGCCCTACTTAAAATCACCAACGACCTACTAACCGCCAAAGCTAATGGCCACTATTCTGTCCTCCTGCTCCTTGACCTCTCCATGGCCTTCGACACTGTCGACCACCCTCTTCTCCTTACTAAACTGTACTCCCTTGGCACCAGGGAAGCTGCTCTCTCCTGGTTCTCCTCCTACCTTTCCCAACGCTCCTTCAGCGTCACCTATAACACTGCCACCTCCCCCTCCCTCCCCCTCTCTGTTGGAGTCCCCCAAGGCTCTGTCCTCGTCCCCTCCTCTTCTCCATTTACACCTCCTCCCTTGGCAAACTAATACACTCCCACGGCTTTAATTACCACCTCTATGCTGACGACACACAAATTTACCTCTCCACCCCCCACCTCACCCCCTCACTCTCCGCCCGCATCGCCCACCTCCTGAACGACATATCAGACTGGATGTCGCTCCATTTCCTCAAACTTAACCTGTCCAATACAGAGCTCCTGGTCTTACCCTGACCTACAAAGCCATTCACAACACCACCCCAAACTACATTACCGACCTGATACCCAAATACTATCCAACCCGTGCCCTTCGCTCCTCACAGGACCTCCTACTCTCTAGCTCCCTGGTCTCCTCCTCCCACAGGGCCCTCGAACCCCTCGTGTATTGTATTGTTTCTGTCTTGTCTCATGTTCTGTCCCCCTTGCTATTGTACAGCGCTGAGCAAACCCTTTGGCGCTATATAAATACTGTATAATAATAATAATTTCCACTCTCTCCCCCCTCAAATTGTCTTTAATTCAACTTTAAGCACTGGAATACCAGACTCTCCCTTGCTGCCTACTGGTGGCAAAAGAACAAATATGAAATATTTGCATGATTTCATGTTTGTCTGTCTAAAGGAGTGTTTACTCCTTCCTAAACATAATAATGAAATGAACATTTTTTTGAGTACCATTAAACATGCTCTTTAAACTACTAGAAAAGGAGAAATTCATAAGTTTTAAGGACAGCTTACTGACTGGAATGGTACCAAATGAGAAAAGCAAACATTTTACCAATATTCAAAAAAGGGCCAAGGTATATACCTTGAACAGACAGACCAGCCAGCCAAACATCAACAGTATGTAAACTATTGAAAGGAATGATAATGGACTGTATTTAAGAATTTGCTGATGAGAATATTAATATTTAGGATGTGGTACCCCCATTAAGGGGTCCTGGGGCCTCCCATATTTATTTTGTTTTGTCTGATGAGAATAGTATCATTAGTAGTAACCAACATGGATTTATGAAAGGCCATTCATGCTTGGCCAACCTTTTAACATTCTGTGAGCAGGTAAGCTGTAATTTGGATAGAGGAAGGCTTGTGGACATAGTGTATCTAGTCTTTTGCTATGGCATTTGCTACAGTACCCCATAAACACTTTACAAATTCCTTTTGTATTAATGAGGTTGTAAGTACCTGGATAGAAAACTGGTTGAAGGAGAGTGTCCAGAGGCTGGTGATTAATAGTATATTTTCTGAATGGTCTAGAGCGGGTGTCGGCAACCCGCGGCTCCAGAGCCGCATGCGGCTCTTTTTCATCTTTGCTGCGGCTCCGGAGCACACTGCCTACCAGGTGACAGGCAATAGGGTTTCAGTGGTCGGCAAGCCGCGGATCGCAAGCCACATGCGGCTCTTCTGTGTGCCGGGCGCCCGCTCCCCTCCCTCCTCTCGGCGGCGGCCGCCTCAAAAGTCAGGACTCTTTTAATCCGGCCCGCGGAGCGTGGAACATTAGCTGTCAGGATGTAGGCGGGGCAGCCAGGATGTAGGCGGGGCAGCGTGACGAACTCCTCTCACAGTCCGCCCTGAAGACAGGAACACAGCGCGGGAACACAGCGAGAGGAACGCGCGGAGCAAAGGTAAGTGAATTGAGACAATATGGGGAATTAATTACTATAGGGGGGATGAATTACTATGGGGGATGAATTATTATATGGAGGATTAATTACTATGGGGGATGAATTACTATGGAGGATGAATTACTATATGGGGGATGAATTACTATGGGGGATGAATTACTATTGAGGATGAATTACTATGGAGGATGAATTACTATATGGGGGATGAATTACTATGGAGGATGAATTACTATATGGAGGATGAATTACTATATGGGGGATGAATTACTATGGGGGATGAATTACTATGGAGGATGAATTACTATAGGGGGGATGAATTTATAGGGGGGATGAATTACTAGGGGGGATGAATTACTATATGGGGGATGAATTACTATATGGGGGATGAATTACTATATGGGGGATGAATTACTATATGGGGGATGAATTACTATATGGGGGATGAATTACTATAGGGGGGATGAATTACTATATGGGGGATGAATTACTATAGGGGGGATGAATTACTATAGGGGGGATGAATTACTATAGGGGGGATGAATTACTATATGGGGGATGAATTACTATATGGGGGGGATGAATTACTATAGGGGGGATGAATTACTATATGGGGGATGAATTACTATATGGGGGATGAATTACTATAGGGGGGATGAATTACTATAGGGGGGATGAATTACTATGGGGGATGAATTACTATATGGGGGATGAATTACTATGGGGGATGAATTACTATAGGGGGGATGAATTACTATATGGGGGATGAATTACTATATGGGGGATGAAGCTAACTGCACGATCCTGTATATAGCATTAAGGTAAGAAACAATATATGCAGTGTCGGATTTGTTTTTAAATGTTGCAATGGTTTTGCGGCTCCCAGTCTTTTTTTTCCCTTCGGAAACGGGTCCAAGTGGCTCTTTATGTCTTAAAAGTTGCAGACCCCTGGTCTAGAGTTATGAGCCGGGTGTGCTAGGGCTCTGTCCTGGGACAGATTCTGTTTAAAGCCTTCATCAATGATATAGAGACTGGAATAAATAATTAAATTCTAGTGTTGACTGATGATACAAAGCTAAGCAGGGCAATAACATCACCACACACAGGATATAGCAACTTCACAAGAAGACCTAGTTAACCAGCTTTACTGCTACAGGGCAGCCGCTCTGTGCAGACTCATATATATGTGTGTGTGTGTTTCTGCACTTCCAGTTAGGGGGCTCGCTGCTTCTGCTGTGATTTAGTCACAGCAGGAACCGATCAGCGGGTGCCGGCCAATGGATGACCACCGGTACCCGCTGGTCGGTGAGGAGACACACTGGACAGAGCTGTGTATATAAACTATAAACAATGCAGAGCTCCGACCTGTCAGCGGGGATGTGCTGGATTTTGTTTTCCTGAAAAGCAAAAAGTAAGCACAAAAACACTGGTTAAGCACACAGTTAACAGTGCAGTACAGTGACAGTGTATATTTTTAGCACTGATCACTGTATTAGTGTCACTGGTTCCCACAAAGTCTCAGTGTCAGATTGTCCGCCGCAGTATCTCAGTCCCGCTACAAGTTGCTGATCGCCACCTTTACTAGTGTAAAAAAAAAGTTCTATTATATATACCATTTGTAGACGCTATAACTTTTGCGCGTTTCAATCAATATACGCTTTTGGGATTTTTTTTTTTTTTTACCAAAAATATGTAGCAGAATACATATTGGCCTAAATTTATGAAGAAATTAGATTTTGGTTTTTTTTTTTTTTATTTTTATTGGATACGTTTCATAGCCGAAAATAAAATATATTGTTTTGGGTTTTTTTTTCAAACTTGTCAGTCTTCTCTTGTTTATAGCGCAAAAAATTAAAAACTATTTGTGGGAAAAAAAATTACACAAATTTTAATTTATGTACAGCATTGCATGACCGCGCCATTGTCAGTTAAAGTAATGCTATGCTGTATAGCATAAAATGTTCTGCTCAGGAAGGGGGTAAATCTTCTGGAGGTCAAGTGGTTAAACTAGAGGGGTGGGGCAGCTAAATGGCAGATCAGGTTTAATATTGAAAAATGGAGCTAAAATATTCATATTACTTGTTGGGAATCTAGGATGGAAAAGGATCTGGGGGTGCTAGTAGATGAGACTCAGAAATAGCATGCAATACCGCACTGCAGCAAACAAGGCCAGCAGACAATTGGCATGCATTAAAAGGGTATTCACTCAAGAAGTAAAACTATAATTCTACCACTTTATAAAACTCTGGTTCAGCCACAGCTTGAGTATACCATCCAGTTCTGGTAACCAATCCTCAGAAAGGATTTCCTTGAACTGAAGAGAGTCCAGTGAAGGGCAACAAGCTAATAAGGGGGCTGGAGTACCTCAGTTATGAGGAACAACTACATACATTAAACTAATTCTCCCTGGAGAAGAGACATGTAAGAGGGGACATGATTGCAATATACAAATGTTCAAATGGTGACTATGTCATTGGGGCAAAGCGATTTAATTTTAGGTTTCTAGAGAAGACATGCTGCTACAAAATTAAACTGGATGAGAAGCCGAGTAAGTGGTTCTTTACTGTAAAAGCGTTAGGGATGTGGAACCCCCTTCCACAGTTGGTGGTGTCAGCAGGGAAATTCCAAATAACTTTTAGATGTGTTTGTTCGTGAATACACTGTACAGGGATATTGAGAATGGTAGTGACATTGGCATGCACACACACACATGTATGTTGAACTGGATGGACCGGTATGTTTATTCAACTTTATCAACTCTGTAACTATGTAATATGGGGCAGCACATAGGCTAAATGGTTAGCACTTCCGCCTGGCAGTACTAGGGTCGTTGGTTCGAATCCCAGCCACGGCACCACCTGCCTGGAGTTTGCATGTTCTCCCTGTGCCTGCGTGGGTTTCCTTCGGGTACTCCGGTTTCCTCCCACACTCCAAAGACATGCTGGTATGTTAATTGGATCCTGTCTAAATTGGCCCTAGTATGTGTATGTATGAATGTAAGTTAGGGACCTTAGATTGTACACCCCTTGAGGGTTAAGGACTGATGTGAATGTACAATATATATATATATGTAAAGTGCTGTGTAAAGTTGATAGCGCTATAGAAGTACCTTAAATAAATAAATAAAAAATAAACATGTTATATGCATATTTTTGTATTCATATTCTGCTATGCTAAACAGGTCTGACCTGGAACTGCAGTTTAAATGCTACCACCATGAAGATCGGCAGATGAACACCAACTGGCCAGCATCTGTGCAAGTCAGTGTCAATGCCACACCTCTTACCATTGAGCGGGGTGACAACAAGACTTCCCACAAACCCCTTCACCTCAAACATGTCTGTCAACCGGGCCGCAACACCATTCAGATTACTGTTACTGCCTGTTGCTGTGTAAGTGATATCTGTCCGACTGAGACTTCTCCATACTCTACTAAATCTGTTGTGTGCTAAATAATAAATTAACTAGATGTTCTATATTGTATGGATATTTAAATATGATTTGCTGTTATTGAAATCATCTTCTAAAGCAATCAACACAAAACTGTGTATAAAGTGACACTGGAATCATCTTCTCTGATGTCCTATATGTAAACTATTAGACAAGAACAATAACTGATTATATCCTATGTCAGCATATATAACTTGTGCATCTCACAGATTAGTCTGTTTATTTTGTGCATCTAGCATGTTGAACAGGAAAGAAGAATCAGAGCTGCTGTTAGAAACTACAGGGCCCCATACAGCCAAACTGACAGGACCCCCTTAAAAATAAATAAATAAAAGTTTACTATACTTCAGTTATGAATGAACACAGTGAGTGATTGGTACCAATTACTCATTGTGTTCAGGAGAGGAAGGAGCTGGTGAAAGTGACATATTTACCAGATCTTTCCTCTAGTCTCCATCCTGAAGGATCCTATTGCCTGACTGCAGCTGCCGGTGGGAAGGAAAGGAGGGAAGCCAGCAGCACTGCAGGGGTGGGGGCACACAGTGGGGGGTCTGGGCAGCAGGGTGAAACGTATGGTTATGCTGCACAGAGAGGGTGATGGGTGCGGAGGTGGCAATTACTGGAACCCATCCCCTGTTATGGCTCCTTCTGCAGCAGCTGAATGCCAGCGGGAGGATGAGGAGAAGAAGCCAGCTTTCAGCTGCTGCAGAGAACCATACAGGGGACCGGTTCCAGTAATTGCCCTTACCGATTGCCCTCCCTGCCCACATTCAATTCACCAACTGCCCGGGCCCCCCTGCTGGCCTGGGCCCTGTACAGAAAGACAGGTGGTACCCCCTTATCCACGGCCATGATCAGAATACACTAATCACAGCTGCAGTCTGTCTATAGCCTGCAGTGCTGATCAAGCAGCAAAGGTCTGTCAGGGTGGTTGAACAGACCTCTGTACAACCACAATGCCCTCACATGGATCAAAATTCAGCCAGTCCCTGCTGAACCAGACAGTTTTCAATCCATGTGTGGGCCACTTAAGTGCACATCAGTCACACAGTCTGTCTCCAAAATAGGACGGCATCCAGATAGCATGTTCAAATGGTAACAAAGTTACAATTTATCCATATTTTTCTGAAATGATAGAACACTTGGCATTGTAGCAGTTGAAGTGCTCCAATCTGTTCTCCAGAAACAAGGCTTTGTGCAGGACTAACTACAGATATCACTAGGCTTTTGGGTTTTTTTTTTAGCTTTGTTTGATTTTATATTTAATTTTACAGTTGTCACTTTGTTTTTCTTTATGCTTAAAATTTTTTTTTTTTTTGTATTCATATATAAAATGCTATTTCTTTTTTTTTTTTTTTTTACCCACATTAAATGTTCTTGGCTTAGTTCCTCTTTATGATTATGCTGCCTTTTTAGATTTTCTAGATCTTTTGCCATTATGCTGTTTAGTAAACGAATGAGATTTTTTTATTGAAGCGGACCATAGTAGCTCATCTTCTTTATTTCACAGTCACACTTGTTCGTGCTGCAGTTAGTTCATCGGCCTTCAGTACGGTCAGTACTGCAGGGTTTGCTGAAGAAGAGACTTCTGCCAGCAGAACATTGTATCACAAAAAGTAAGTTGGCTGTCCTTAAATGTATCACAGTTCTGCATGATTCACTCCATATGGTTTTCATTTGCCCTGGCCCTGCTTTTATTTTGTTTTTTGTAAACCCATATGTAACGCATTGTATTGAAATATCACACTGCAACTGTGGGATCAAGCATTTAGCTGCAGGCCGAGTTAATTCTGCCAGAGCAGTAATGCTCTGAAACGTGTATACGGTCCTGCCAGCTTTATGGTAAAATCACAGCCTAGCCACCTGTTTTGACCACTCCCCCCTATCCTTCCAGCCACACATGTGAAAGGGCCCTTCTAATGTATGTATTCAATATTTTATCTGGAGTTCAGCTTTTGTATATTTAGATTTATGTATTGCATGACAATGAATAGATTGTTGAGATGTGGAGTACCTCTTTAGCACCTCTGATAAGTCAAGTGATATTACTTGGAGTTAAGCACTGTGCATCCTGAGTCCATTCCAAGAAAAGCCAACACTCTATATGTGACTGCAGACAGCTGTCCAGCCTCATAATATACACTGCTTAAAAAAATTAAAGGAACACTTTGAAAACACATCAGATCTCAATGGGGAAAAATATAATGCTGGATATCTATACTGATATGGACTGAGTAATGTGTTAGAAATGTAAGGATGGCCCATCGTTTGAAGGAAATGAAAATGATCAACCTACAGAGGACTGAATTCAAAGACATCCTCAAAATCAAAGTGAAAAAATGATGCAGCAGGCTAGTCTATTTTGCTGAAATTTCATTGCAGCAACTCAAAATGGTGCTGAGTAGTTTGTATGGCCCCCCTTGTGCTTGTATGCATGTCTGACAACTTCGTGGCATGATCCTAATAAGACGACAAATGGTGTCCTGTGGTGTTTGTGAAAAGCACAGGGTGCCAGTGGCGGACCTGTCAATTCTGGTGTTCAATGGCAAATGCCAATCGAACTCTATGGTGCCAGGCAGTGAGCACAGGGCCCACTAGAGGACATAGGGTCCTCAGGCGACCCTCATGAAGTCTGTTTCTGATTGTTTGGTCAAAGACAATCACACCAGTGGCCTGCTGAAGGTCATTTTGTTGGGCTCTGGCAGCACTCATCCTTTTCCTCCTTGCACAAAGGAGCAGATACCGGTTCTGCTGATGGGTTAAGGGCCTTCTTCGGCCCTGTCCAGCTCTCCTAGAGTAACTGCCTGTCTCCTGGAATCTCCTCCATGCTCTTGAGACTGTGCTGGGAGAAACCGCAAACCTTTTTGCAATGGCCCGTATTTATGTGCCATCCTAGAGGAGTTGGACTGCCTGTGCAACCTCAGCAGGGTCCGGGTATAGCCTAATGCTACCAGTAGTGACACTGACCCTAGCCAAATGCAAAACTAATGAAAATCAATCAGGAAAGATGAGGAGGGAAATAAATGTCAGTGGCCTCCACCTGTAAAACCATTCCTGTTTTGGGATTTGTATCATTGTTGCCCATTTAGTGCACCTGTTGTTAATTTCATTAACACCAAAGCAGCTGCAACTGAGTAACAACTCCCTCTGCTACTTAACTGGCCATATCAATAGCCCAGGAGTTTAATTGACTTGATGCTATACTCTTGCTATGTTCCTTTTAATTTTTTTGAGCAGTGTATTAGGGGTATATGAACAAACTGGCATTCCTACCAAAAGGAAGAAAATGTAGAAAAAAGTATAATTTGCAGCAAAGTAACTCTACAAGTTTGAGTGTGAATTGTCTACCACAGCGTCTCTCAACCGGTTTGCTTTGGTCAAAGGACAAAAAACTGCCTGTACACTCCTGATCTGAGTGTGTTCTATGTGAACTCCTGTATACAGAAAGGAGGGAGAGAGCACAAGCCTGCACCTCCACCCGGCTCTCTCTGATGCTATCTTTACTCCTGTCAGCAGCCCAGAAAGCTGTGCTGGCTGCCCACCCATGTCCTAACCGAAGGACAAGTCAGGTGACCTGTACAGCTTTCTGGGTTACCAACATGCGTACATGGCAGCTCAGAGAGCCAGGAGAAAGTGTGGGCTGTGCTCTCTCCCTCTCTTCTTTATACAGGAGTTAACATACGATCGCTTAGATCAGACTTTGCAGGGTTTGGTTACCGCCCTATTCTGCTCCTGTCCCGGCAGCAGAAATTATGGGTAGGGGGTAGTAATCAAACCCTGCATAGTTTGATCTGAGCAATCCTGTGTACAGACAGGAGGGAGAGGAGCTGGTTGGAGCACAGCCCACACCTCCTACTGACTATTTTCTTCTTTCTACCGCTTTGGTGTTTTGGGAAAGGGGGGGGGGGATTTGTGCTGGAGAAGAGGGATTTTGAGGGGAGAGGATTTACAATCTATAGATCACTGAAATCTGCCTCAAAAACTACATTTTAGAGTTGTTTGCGCCAGGTGCTGTGCGATAACTTCTTCCTGCAACGCACAAAAATCGGGCTTCCTTTTGCAGATTTGAGTGTGTGCCATTAATTCTTAATAGATGGGTGCCATTCATTCTTAATGGCACCCCCACCATTAGCAAATGCGCATGTGTTTGCACCCGCTAAAACACATGGTACTAAGCAATTTTAAAAATCATGTCAGCACCTTTTTTTTTTTTTTTTTTTTGCATGTTTCACCTGCATACTATACAGCATTCCCTTAACCACTTCCTGTCCAGACACTTTTACCCCCTTCCTGACCAGGGCAATTTTCAGCTTTTAGCACTATCACACTTTGAATGACAATTCCGCGGTCATGCAACACTGTACCCAAAATAATTTTTTACCATTTTTTTGAGACAGATAAAGCTTTATTTTGGTGGTATTTATTCACCGCTGGGATTTTTATTTTTTTGCTATGTAAATGAATAAGTCCAAAAAAATGAAAAAAAGTGTTTTTTTTTTTATAACATTGCAAATAAATAATATTTCATCATAAATCTTGGTCAAAATTTTTTCCGTTATCTTTTTAGTTTAAAAAAAAAAATCCAAATTAGTTTATAACCAAAAATTATAATTTTTAAACTTTTTTTACATTTTTTTTTTTTTTTTTTTATTTTTTTTATTTTTTTACATACTGTCACCCTAGCAGTACAGTGTCACCATGGTGACACTGTACACTTGGGGGGGGGGGGGGTGATGCAGATTTTTTTTTTTTTTACACTGATTGCTTTTACACCCATATAGGATGTAAAAGCAATCATTTCTCTTTCTCTCTGTCTGCATTCTTGCAGTCATTGAGAAGTACTGAGTGAGCTGTGATTGGTCACAGCTTGTCACATGGTACAAGGCTGTTGTGAATAGCCTTGTACCATGTGACCTCTGTGATCATTCACAGTTTCACACGTAGTAAGCAATGATCTCACAAATAACATCTTGCTTACTACTTTGCATGTGATCACTGATTGGCCAATCAGTGATCACATGATCGGGACCTCGTACAGAGGTCCCGTCCAACGATCGGTGTTTCACTGTGTCCGGAGGACACAGTGGGCACCGGATTGCGGTGTTGCGCGCTCCTCGGGAGCGCGCACAAACAGGATGCGGGGAGGCCGTTTATAAACGGCCATCCGACCCTGCACTGCCACCGTCCAGCCTTTTATATACAACAGCCGGTCGGGAAGTGGTTAAAATACATGACATGTAGGAACGTGCAAAAAGGTGCGCGCACACAGGCACACCTCCCTGGTGTGAATGAACCCTCAGACTGGTGTCCCCCGTGATTACACACAATTCTAAAGGGTGCCTTGACTGAAAAAAGTTGAGAAACACTGGTCTACCATGACCTGTATGAGTGAGAAAGTTTGAAGGGAAAACAGATTTTTGCCAGTAGTGATTAGTTAAAGTCTTTCATACTGCACTGAAAAATTTAAAGTGGAACTTTAGTCAGAAAATTAATCCCTGCTTTATCACTTCAGGCTGGCCCCTTTTGCAGGTATAACTGTGTAAAACATTACAAATAAGTGCCCATACTGTGTAAAATCCAGTAATACACCGTCTCACTCTACTATGCACATGCTTAATTGCTCTATTTTTCAGCACAGTGCCAAACCTGCTGACAGCCTAAAGATTTACTGCTGTTCAAGGGCTCTGGGCTTCAGCAAAATTGCAGCCTTCACCAAGAAGAAACCGAAACAATGCCAGAGGCAATTTACTGCACACAATAATTTTGATAGTACAGTTATTAATATGGAATGGATGTTCCTTGCTAAAAAAAACATTTTTTTATCAAATTGTTATGGGTAAAGTTTCTCTTTAATGGGAGAGAACAAGACAGGACACAGTTGGAAATGAGAACAGCTTTTCTTCTGACACACTGCTTGTTTGTCTGTGCAGTAAAGAGAAATTTCAGCAGTGTAGCGGCATCATCTGGTAATGCAGCACTAAATGGAGAGGATGGAGTAGAGCAGACGGCAATTAAAGTCTCATTGAAATGCCCGATCACGTTCAGACGGATCCAGCTGCCTGCTCGGGGACATGACTGCAAACATGTACAGGTCAGTTCATCAGACTAAACACCTGTTTCAGAATAGTGTTGTCCAGAACTATTGTGACAAATCAGCAACATGTGCATTGCGTGTATAGCAGGGGCGGACTGACCATTTGGAAACTCGGGCACTGCCCGAGGGCCCGGGGTCAGTAGGGGGCCCCATGAGATGCCCCTGGTACCTTTTTCATAGGCTTTATTGAGTTTTGGCAAGGACACAGGGGCCCCATGATCCCCTATTGCCCGGGGGTCCCATGCGTTGTCAGTCCGCCCCTGGTGTGTAGTATGATATATAAAGTTTTCTTCTTTGTATGTGCAGTGCTTTGATCTGGAATCATTATCTGCAGTTGAACTGTGAGCGGGGAACATGGAGATGTCCTGTATGCAAGTGAGTGTACAATTTTTATGTGTTTAATGTAAAGAGATTATTTGAGAAAAAAATGTTTTACCGGCTACTGTCTTTGTATTGAAGTATATAAAGGACAAAAAATATTGCCCAGTTGTATGTATAGCTTTAATTTGTCACATATTACCTTTCACAGTATTTGTCCCCGTAATCTCCTATGTATGTTATTTCACACCAAGTGACACATCACTGCTCCAGCCTTGATCATAAGTCTGCTTTTTCAATCCCAGCATGCACCAGAATCAGCAACAGCCTGAGCGTGCTGTTTGGCAATAAATGGGCTATTGGCACTTTAAATATTTATGTCTACCTAGAATGATGGTAATGTTATGCTGCAGCAGTCATTGTAACATGTAGTCATAGACTGTGGCTTTTAAAGATGTGGACTTAATCAGTCATGTTTAATACATTTTCTACACGGGATAGATGCAATTCAAGCTGACATCCCTTTCATACCGTCCTGGATGTAAGAGCAGTAGATATGTACATCATTGGCTTGATATAAACAGCAGATACTGGTCATATTTTGTTGTTTTTTTTTTTTTTTACACTTTTATAAATGTTTATTTTCTTTCAGTAAAACAGCCCTATTAGAAGGCCTCGAGGTAGATCAGTACATGTGGGGCATCTTGAATGCAATACAGAAGTAAGTGCCACATGCAGTTGTGTGACTTCCATCTTCCTGTTTGCTGTGTAAAACCATTATTTTTCTTGTTTTAAAAGAAGCAAATTCTATATTTTTATAGATACTCAACATTTTGGTGGGTCATGGCCTGCCTTTCTTATGGCCATAATAAACCTATACAAGGCTAAGGCCACGTTAACAATTAAAGTAGAACTGTAGGCAAAACTTTTTTTTTTTCCATTTTGGATAGAGTAACAGAGGGCTTTAACCCTATCCGTTTATTTTTTTGCCATCTGTGTCCCATTGGGGAGACTTACTGTCACTTTTTGTCCCATAGACAAAACAGGAAGTGAGAGGAAATCCACAAAAATCAAAGGAATCTCTTGGAGATAACCAGAACTAGTGTCCCCATTGGAAGATTTCCCCTCTGATACTGTTCTGGGGACTACGCAAAATTTTAGATTTTCTTTTACTTTCACTTTTAATGATAATGGTAAACAGGACAAATATAGTGAGGGTGAATCTCCCTAACGGGGACACAGACCGCAATAAATATCTAATAGGTGTTCTAATCCATCTCTACTCTTTCCAAAACTAAAAAAACTGTTTTGATTTTAATTAAACTTCAAATCTAAGATAGGAAATGAACTACTGGATAACAGATACATATTTTACATTGTACTGTAATCCGAAATATTAATGAAACGATTGTCAAATGTTGGTTAAAGTTGTATATAAGAACATCTATGTGACCCACATGCCACACTAAAATGACCACCCCGCTATAAATGAAAAAGCAGTAAAATGCTACAATGTTTACAATTAAAAATAACACAAGACACAAATGCAAGAAACAAACATTAAATAAAGGGCAAACTTTATTTTAATATGACAGAACCCAAAGTAAAGCACGGCAGCAAGGAACAGATTAAAAAAGTAAGGAAGAATCAGCTGAACAGGAAGCAAAGTAGCTGGGCATGAGATACAAAGCCCACCTAAAGTGACACTAAACAATATCCTTATTCTCCTAAAATAAACCATACACATTCACTACTTGATGGCCCTGTAAACTATTTTTCATAAAATTATTTATTTCCTTGTAATGTTCTCCATGAGCTCCTGAATCTCTCCTTTTCCTTCTCACTTTCAAATGTTTGGAACAAGCAGTGCACGTTAGCTGCAGTCATGTGCACACTACAGATCCCAAATTCTCTAGTCAATCCCAGGAGCGAGCAAGAGAGGGTGGCTACATTCTTACATACAGTGGGACCATGGAAATACACAGCACATGCAGCTGTTTGATTTCACTGCTAAAGAAGAGTGTTCTCACTATTTAACCACTTGACAACTTCACTATAGCTGAATGATGGCTACAGCATAGTTGTCGAGTTCTGAGAGGGCATCATATGACGTCCTCCCAGAACGCGCCCCCAGCGGCGCGCACCCAGCACTGTCAGTGATCGCTGTGTCCTACTGATACAGCTGATCATGTGATATGGTAAAAGGCCAATCACAGCGGTTTAATACCACGTGATCAGCTGTGTCCAATGACACCGCAGATCAAAAAGTAAATACAATACAGTTGCCGGTTATAGGCAGCACTTTCAAAGTACTGCCGATAACCAGCGAATGTCACAGAGGACACCCGCACTGATCATCAGGGCACTGATGATCAGTGCCGCCAGTCAGTGCCCAGTAGTGCCGCCCACCAGTGCCCAGCAGTGCCGCCCAGCAGTTGCACCCATTAGTACCGCCAGTCAGTGACTCCCCTCATTGCTGCATATCAGGGCAGCATCATCAGTGCCTCATCAATGCCCACCAGTGCCGCCTCATCAGTGCCACCTCATCAGTGCCATCAGTGCTGCCTATCCGTGCCACCTCATCAGTGCTGCCTATCAGTGCTGCCTCATCAACGCACATCAGTGAAGGATAAAAAATTACCTGTTTGCATAATTTTATAATAGAAACAAAGGAAAAACTTTTTTTTTTTTCTCAAATTTTTTGCTTTTTTTGTTTATAGTGCAAAAAATAAAAACCTCAGTGGTGGTTAAAATGTTGCATGACCACACAATTGTCATTAAAAAATAATGGTCTGTTGGGAGGATCAGCGGGTAATAAAACTTTGTTATGGGGCAGGGGTTCATACACATAACTGCTGTGTTACTGCTAGCCACATACTTCATCATACAGTAGGTTCATAGCTGAAACTAAACTCCAGGTATGATCTTGAATGTATACTTTGTACAACACACCATGGATTGGTCCTGGATTGGAGATATGTGTTCTTTGGGTTATGGCCCCCATAAGGGGATGACAAATAGCAGGATGAAGTATTCTTGGATTCTCACCTATGCAGGGTGAAGGGGTCCAGGGCAAACTGATTAACATTTTCCCCAGGATTAAGTCCTTTATGGGACCCGTAATTCAGAGGCTCTGAAGAGATTTTGGGTGAGAGAGAGCCTCCAACACTAATTACGGGTACTATGGTCCTGCAAGAGTGAAGAGGGCTGGAAGCAGTCAGCAGGTGTCTCTGATGTGCAACAGGACAGGTTTGTGTGGAAGAGCTGAAGGCTGCTCATTGCTGAGTCACTGCTGGCCGATCTTTTTCTGTGGGCCTCCTAAAGCATGTAGAGCAAGGGACAGGTTTCACTGGCAGTTTTTCTCTGTATTCTCTGTATGCTGAAAAAAAGCTATTTTTTGTGTATTTTTTTTAAAATAACCAAAGTCGGTAGGATGGTGATCCAAAACCTTCAAATATCACAGCTGGTGCTCAGATGCAGGCATACTAGCTGGGAAGCCAGTTTGAAGCAAAAAAAAAAATACAATTTAAAAGGCCATAGGCCATGTGATAGGTCAATGCAGCAGAGGCACCACAGGGTACTGTAAGAAGCACAAAGGAGGTGGTAAAAGCCCTCATTCAGACTACAGCGGCCCAACAGCAGGCCTATAGGGAACTCAGGCATGACAGCAGCAGACTGTGGCTCTATTCATTCAGACAGCGGCAGCACAGCTGGAGGCTCAGAAGGAGTCTTGTGCAGGACCAGTTGATGGCTATAAGATACCGGCTAAAGGGGGTTGTTGCCCTTAGCAACTCTGGTGATGGTAAGGGCCAAACATGGTTTGCAAATGTTCACTTTCCAATGTGGAACCAATCCCAATGACTTTTGAATCTTAGACCAAGAGAGAGGAGTGGCCTCAGACTAGTGGGCCAGCCTCATGACTCGTTTCCATCGGGGAACCCCAGAAGACCTACTAAGACCTGCTCAGTGGCTGATGCCTTAGATGTTGTGAAACTGAAGGGGGAGATCTTAGCTTGCCATGGGGTGACAGTTTTTGTAAAGTACTGTGTGTTCAATTAAAATGGCATCACATCCTGATTGATTGCTATGTAGATTCTTGAAAATGGATGTTAAAGGTGCCAGCACAATCTCTAGCTAAAATATCAGTTTTATTATTTAAAAAATGATTTACAATATTGCACATTTAAAAAAATATCCTACACAGAACATCTACAAAATATTAAAGGAACCTCCTCAAGTGTGAAGAGGCCCCACAGTCAAACATTCCCAGTACATCTACACAATCACTTGCTAGAATGTGGGAAATGAGCTTCAAAAGGTAAATCTTGTATGGTAGGATGCTTAAGGGGGGCTGGAACCTAAACCTGCTTCATGGGTGCATCAGTAAAATCCACTGGGGTGGGGTCCAGTAGGTGCCAAAACCAGTGCCCCTTGTGGGTAAAAATGTAAGATGTGTGGGGCCATATGGAAGGGGTCTTTCTATGCCCAGAGGATCTGTACTGCATATATGGTTCTGATGGTGAACAAAACTCTATACCCGAGCGCTACTAGACTTGGGGCAGTATGGTGACTCTTGTTCATACTGGGGGTGTGTGGGAGAGTGGGCCTTGTAAATAAAACTAAGGGTGGTATGTAAACATAGAGACACAAAAGAATACCTATTGATGCCAGTGTCAATCACTACTGACTGTGGTATGGTTACCCAGGAGATTGGAGCGGTACCCAACCTGATACATGATATCGGAGTGGGCTGGGATAGTCCTCTCTTCTTGGAACTGTGGGACTATGTCAACTGAAGACTGCCTGGCTAGAGTGGCAGTTCAGTTACATTTTGAGATGCTGGAATGTGTGATTCTAGAAAATGCAGATGATAATTATACCGGTGGCAGACCATCTACAGGCTAAAGAGACCCCTGGGAGGGGAGGGGAAATCTCCTACTAGGAGGTCATGGCTGGGCAGAGCATAGAGGAAACCTATCCACTGTAGGTTATGTCCAGAGAGGATGAAGGGGAGGGTTCCTCTTGTCCAGTATATCCTGATCTGGCATTTTTTTTAAGAGGGTGTCACAAGTGCTGAGGTCAAAATAAAGTTTCAGCACTTTGCCTTCAATAGCTGTACTATATCACCAAAGTCTGGGGTGAAGTTGCGGACCAGGTATTGGTCTCCCAGCCTTTTAGATGCCTGGTACTCAACCTAGCTTACAATGATGTGTTAGGTCACTTGGGGGGCCAAGAAAACAGAGGCTCTGATAACAAGCTGGTTCCACTGACTGGGGATTACTGCTTGAGGTTCTGTGGCCAGTGGTGTATTCAGGTTTTTTGCTGCCCTAGGCAAAACAAAAATTGTCTGCCCCCACAGACATCAGCCAACACCCCCCCCCTTCCCCCTCCCATGGAGAGAGTCTGACATTAAACAACAAAACCCCTGCCCCCCACCTGGGAGAGCTTTTCATAACCCCCTAACCCCGGTGATAGAGAGAACGACACTCATCTTCCCAGCTCTGGACATCCTGGGAACAAAAGTCAGGTTCTACATACACCATAAAGCAGCCCACAGCCTCTCTCGGATCCCACCTGGTACCCATGGTACAGATGTCCTTTCTTTCATCCCTTCTGGGGGGAGGTACTGCCCCCCTGAAAAATGTCGCCCTAGGCAAGTGCTTTGTTTGCCTTGTGATAAATATGCCCCTGACTGTGGCTCATGTCCCAGTTGTCCACTAACTGCTCCAGTGTCACATTGTAGGAACCCCTTGGCGCCTCTCTATTATCAAGGTACAATGTGAACCTATTGCGATGGATCTAGTGGGCTCCCTGTGGAAATGAGCTCGGTGACACCAATATATCCTGGTGGTACTCCATTATACACAAAGTATCTAGTGGCAGTCCCTCTCCTCCATAGTGATTTCTGTAGAGTTATGTTCTCAAGAACTGGGTTCCCAAAAGAGATTTTGACGGACCAAGGAATTCTATTCATGTCAAAGGTAATGGCAGACCTATGTAAGTTACTCTAAATTTAAAAAATTGCATATTTCTGTCTATCACCCACAGATGGATGGGTTTGTACAAAAAAAGAAAAAGATTGGGACTGCTTACTTCAAGCACATATGATTACTATCAGAAAGGTTCCTCAAGCATCTACCAGGTTTTCTCTGTTTCAGTTGTTGTATGGGAGTAGAACATGGGGGTTGCTTGATCTGCTAGAAGAAACCTAGGAAGCGAGTCTTCACATAAAACAGTGGTAGAGCATATTGCCCATGAGAGAGAGTCACTAAGGTAATCTGGTCTGCCAAACTTAGACAGTTCCAGGTTGGGGACCAAGTGGCTGTATTTATACCCTCCATAGAGTTCTAAGCCCATTTGCAGGGCCGTACCAGGTGGTAAAAAAGGTTGGTGAATTAAACTATAAAGTTCTCCAACCTGGGAAACAGAAACTTTCCTAAATCTACCATGTGAAAAAACCTTAAAAGGACAGAGAGCAGGTATCTACCTAGCTGAAATTAGTTTGGAGCCCCTTTAGGGGTGGACCTTGTCCCAGTGGCCACCGCCATATCCAAGCCACAAATTCAGCAGGTAAAAGAACAGAGGAATGGGGAGATCTTCTCAGGTCTGCCAGGGTAATTGAGCTTGACGTTATCACAGAGTCTAATGTGAAGGTCTGAGTAAAATCCTATTGCATTCCTGAGGCACACAGGAAAACCGTATCATAGGAGCTTGGGAAAATGTTTGAACTCGATAACTTTGAGGAGTCACAGAGTGAATGGTCAAGCCCAACTGTGTTGGTACCGAAGCCCAACAAAACTGTGAAGAGCATGATTAGATCATTTTAGAATGATTTCAGAAAACTCAATGAGGTATTGAAGTTTGATGTTATATATTACCACCTTAGACCTCACCAAGGGGTACTGGTAGATACTTTTAACCAAGGAAGCCAGACAAAAGATGGCATTTTCCACTCCAGAGGGTCACTTTAAATGTAAAAGAACGCAATTTGGGATGCATTGTGCCCAAGCTATTTTCAGAGGCCAATGAATAAAACATGGTGCCCCTATCGTAAAATACATCTCACTATATTTCTATGATTTTGTTATCTTTAGTATAGACTGGGAATACCATGGGAGTTCATGCTGGGTTGGATTCTTTAAAATGCGTCACTGTGATGAGAAACCGGGTACCTGGGGAACATAGTGGGTAGAGGTTTTCTAAAGCCTCTAGAGGCTGTTCAGGCTTGGCCCTGTCCCATTGTGAAGAAAACATTGTGAGCATTACTGGGCGTAGTTGGGTGCTACCGACAGTTTGTCCCCAACTTCGCCACTATCACTGAGCTAACTTGACAAAGGTAAGAATTCTGTTCTGGTCAAGTGAAATAACAAGGCTGAGGAGGCTTTTCTGAGCTTAAAACAGCCTTATGCCAGTATCCGGTGCTGGTTGCAACAGATTTTTCTAAGTTTATTGTCCAAACAGAAGCCTCCAGGAAAGGATTAGGAGGAGTTCTGTTTTATGAGGTCAATGGGGAGGAACACCCAATAGTCTTTCTTTACAGGACCTTAACGGCTGCCGAGAAAAAGTATGCCGTAGTGGAGAAAAAATGCCTATCCATTAAGTGGGCTTTTGATTCTCTGTGCTACTTTCTACTTGGCAGGAAGTTGCAGTTTGTGTCTGATCATGCCCCAATGACATGGATGAGGCAGAACAAGCACACAAATGCTAGAGTAACCAGGTGATTCTTGGTCCTACAAGACTAATGGGTACTTTAGTCCTGAAAGGGTTATCCTACCTGTGAGAGAGGACTGAAATGGGCAGGAAGCAGGTGTCTGTGAGGTGTGATGTGGAACAGGACAGGCTTGTGTGGACGAGCTGTACACTGTTCATTATTGAGACTTTGCTGATAACTTTTTGCTGTGGATCTCCCAAGACAGGCAGACATATAGCCCTGTTCAGGGACAAGTTTCAAGGCAGTAAGCCCAAGTTTTATTTTGATGCAGATATGTACTGTTTGTGTTTTGTACACTGAAGGAAAGTTTGTGTTTTGTTTATTTAAATAAAGAACACCGCTTTTGTAAAGTCGTCTGGCTGGTGATCTGAAACATCCAAATATAGCTGACATATGTATATCTTACACCTGAGGAAGCGATGTAGAAGCTGAATGCAATCTTCTGGGTCTTATGCCGCCAGTCATAGAATGTCTTGTATTTTTTGGTAAGGTGGAGATTGTGATCCCCTCCACCTTGTCCAATCAGGGAATTTCAAGGCACTCTTGCAGTGGTGCTGAGCAAACAATTTCCTGTAGTCAGTATGAAAATTGAAGCAGCACTTGACAGACCTGGAAGATAGCAGCGCCAACTACTACAGTGATTGTGCCTTACACATCGCTCACTCAGGTATAGGATATGCATTACATTGGTTTAAGCTGAACCAATGTATGTATGCAACTAAGATCATACCTGGAGTTCAGCGATTAAACTACAATTTTGTATCCTCTACAGGAAAAATAAATGTGTGCTTTAAAACATCCTAAAATGGTGTAAAAAATGATGGAGGATGCATTTGTTTGTTTCACAGCTCAGAGTTTGAAGAAGTGACCATTGATCCCACGTGCAGTTGGCGGCCGGTACCTATCAAATCAGAGATTCACATCAAGGATGATCCTGATGGAATGCCCTCCAAGAGGTTTAAGACTATGAGTCCCAGTCAGATGATCATGCCCAATGTCATGGAGATGATTGCAGCACTGGGGCCTGGCCCTTCACCATATCCATCTCTGCCACCACCCCCTGGTGGAGGAAGTTCCAATGAGTATGTTGGACAAGGTAAGACTTTGTTGTGCAATGTTCGGTATGTTTTCTTGTATAAATCCTCTGCACACCCCCAAAGCCCCGTAACTGCTGTCAACACTCCAGTAGTGTAACGATGCTTAGCCCAATAATAACTGCAGAACCACAAGCAGTAAACTTAATAAGACTCCTTTTTTCATCCTAATTAATGTCATTTCAGGTAACAATTACCAGGGTCATGGCAACTTTGACTTCCCTCATGGAGCTCCAGGTGGCACATCAATGAACGACTTTATGCACGGGCCCCAGCTCTCGCACCCCCCTGACATGCCTGGTGGGATGTCTTCGCTGGACAAGCCACTCAGTCACCCCATGCAGGACTCTGTAAGTGGTGCTGGCTCTGTTTACAGTCCATTTTAGGATAGCATTCATGTTATTTTACATATTTATTGACAAGGGGTCATCATTTTTTTCTCAATATTCTTCTCTGCAGATTCCTCATGTAGGAAATGCTGATCAGCCTCATGGCGCCATGCCTCAGGGCTTACACCCACCTCACCCAGGAAGCCAGCCTGGGCAGCCTTTACATCATGGTGGACCAGCACCTCAACCTCGACATCCACCTCAAGCTGCTGGCCATGGACATGGAGATATGGCCTTTAACCCTTCATCGGTATTAGAAGGTCAGCCTGGTGGACAGGGACCCCCTGATATGCCAGAGCCATCGCTGGATGTAAGTCTATTCATTGTATATTTTCATATATTGCAATAGCTAAAAAGAGGATTTGCTTTGCATTGGAAAGTACCTTCTCATCTTTAAATCCATATGACAATAGATTAGTATGTGTCCAATAGAAGGATGCAGTTTATTTAGACCAACAATAGGGCTCAGGAGACTTTCTATAGTATTAGAAGGTTTTATATGTCATTTAATCCACTAAATCTAGTGATACAGCAGCCATATATTTCAGCTTCCAAGGAGGAAAGCTCATAGATTTACATTTTTTTTTAAATCCAAACAACTTTTATTGTCAAGGCAATGAACAGAGTTTACAGATTCAACAATAATATTACTGTACCAGCAGAATTTTGCATAGGTAAAACAATGTGAATATGCAGATCCTGTAACATTCAGAATAGCTGAAGCAATGACCAATCATAGCAGGAGACACAGCTGACTTGGTTTTAAATGACATCTGCTGTTCCACAATGATATCAATTTTAAATTTATATTACTTTCTACACTATTCTAAAAGTATGATGGAGTGAACTGCTTTAGAATGAAGTAAAATACAACACATGAGTTGCCAGTGGCAATTGTCACAGCTATTAATATCCTGTTAAGAAGGAAGCCGCTTTACTTTTTTCTTTAACATGTAGCTCTCCTGAGGCTCCAGACTTCACTATTTAGATTCTTACAGACCATGATTCACATTACTTTGATACAACCACACAAAAGCCTTAACTTAATGTCATACAGGCAAGTTTTGTAGCAGTGATTTGCCGCAGCTACAGAGTCACTCTGCTTTGTGGCTAGGAAACGATATCAACTGCAGTCACTGCAAAGACTTTGTCTCTGAAATTCTATCAGAGATAAACTATCTCAGTAGGAGGAGCCTCATACAATTACTGAACTCTGTATGTCAGCTGATAAAAAGAAAAAGATTCCCTCATGTATGTGTATAGGGCGGCAATGGTGAATATTACAGCTGTAAGGTTTAGGGAAAATATGTAAGTGTGTTATTTCTGAGACTGTTTATAAAGATGAAAGACACAGACTTTCATATCATGGATTATTTTTTTTTGTTTTCACGGTTCAGATTAAGTAATTTTGTTTCACAAATGCCCAGGTGAGAAAAAGTTACTTTATTTGGAGCACCATATTCATTTGAGTCTTCCAAACTCTGCTTTTCTAAACTCCTGTCCACTAGTCCGACACTTGCCAATTTCTTTAGTTCAATCAGGTCAGGCTCGATCCCTCTCCTCTGAATTCAATCATTCTTGCTGATTTTTTTCCTACTTCTGAAATTTGTTTCCTACATTTTTGCTTCCAAGTCTTTTTAATTCAACAGCAGATTAAGCTGGGAAAAGTAAACACTTGCATCCTTACATTTGTAGAGCTGAATGTACACGCTGTAATGTTCATATTGTTCTTCTGTTTCACCGATAAAGGAAGCTCTAATGCAGAAGTAAAGGAGTCCTGCTGTACCAATCACCTAGATGACTGCCTAGTTGCATTTTGTTTAATTGCATATTATCTAGTTGGCTGAGCCAATGTTTAGGTATAATTGAACCTTTTCACTGTTGGGGAATTGTTTCCTCCCACATCTTAGGCCTAAAGATTTTCTAAAACCATCAAAACATGATATTTTATAAACACAGAGACCCTGTCGAAAAAATGGTGGCAGTTCACGTTTCTTTGTCACACAATAATTGAGCTGTTTTGCAAATCTATATTTTCAGTAAAGGTATAGTTAAGTTAATAATGCACACAAACACAATATAACCGCTTGCCGATCTGCCACAGTAAATGTACTGCGGCAAATTAGCTTGTACAGGCACAGTCATGTACCTGTACGTTACAGCTTTCTTCTGGGTCCACTTGCACATGTGCATGCGGACCCAGAAGACTGCTTTCATTCACTGCAGTACAAGCCAATCAATGGATCCCGGCCAGTGATGTATGGCCAAAACCTGCTGATCGGCTTAGGGAATAACAGAGGAGAACCCTGTGTTGGTAAACAATATAGGGCTCTCTTCAGGCAACAGCGATGGGCTGTTTATTTTCTCCACTTATCCCCTTGATCATTCTAGATGTTAGCCCCTTCTCAGCCTGTGTTATTAGTACAGTGACAGTGTATATTAGCACTGATCATTGTATTCGTGTCACTGGTGATGTAAATGGCAGTTAGTCAGTTTCCCCCCAGCATCAGTGTCCAATTGCCTGCTGCACTATCGCAGTCCCACTTTAAGTCGCAGATCGCCACCATTACTAGCAAAAAAAATAAATAAAAATTGCAGCATCTATTCCATAGTTTGTAGACTCTATAATTCTCATGCAAACCAATCAATATACACTTACTGGGATTTTTTTTAACCAAAGACATGTAGCAGAATACATTTTGGCCAAACTTGATGAACAAATTTTATTTCTTTATTGCATGTTTTCTAGCAGAAAGTAGAAAATATATTTTTTTTTTTTTTAAATTAGGGTATTTTTTCATTTTATATCACAAAAAAATAAACCCAGTGGTGATCAAAAAATACCACCAAAAGAAAGCTCTATTTGTGTAAAAAAAAAATTATATCAATTTTGTTTGCATACAGCATTGCATTACTGCGCAATTACCAGTTAAATTAGCACAGTGGCAAACCGCAAAAAATGGCCCGGTCATGAAAGGGGTAAAATCTTCTGGAGCTCAAGCGAATAAAAACCTTTACCGCTCATCAATTTAGAATTAACCCCCCTATGTGATAGCATAGCACAGGTGACGGGTTCTCTTTAACCCTTTCCGGCCGGCCCATGTAGCCTTACTGCTACAGTGCAGCTGCTCTGTGCAGAATCACGTGTACAGCAGGTAAATAAGTATGGAACACCTCACCATTTTTGTCAGTAAATATATTTCTAAAAGTGCTAGTGACATGAAATTTTCACCACATGTCGGGTAACAACCCATGCAATCCATACAAAGAAACCAAAATAAATACATTCATAAATTATGTGTAATAAAATGGAATTACACAGGGGAAAAAGTATTGAACACGCTAACTGAAATTTATTTAATACTTCGTACAAAATCCTTTGTTGGTAATGACAGCTTAATGACCACCTCCAGTATGGAGAAACTAGTCGCATGCATTGCTCAGGTGTGATTTTGGCCCATTCTTCCACACAGTCTCTACTGGGTCTCTTCTGTGAACTCTGACCTTTGGTTATTTCCATATTATATTCTATTGAATTCAAGTCAGGTGATTGGCTGGGCCATTCTAGCAGCTTTATTTTCTTTCTTTGAAACCAATTGAGTGTTTCCTTGGCTTTGTGTTTGGAATAATTGTCTTGCTGAAATGTCCACCCTTGTTTCATATTTATCATCCTGGTAGATGGCAGCAGATTTTTATCAAGAATGTCTTGCTACATTTTTCTATTTGTCCTTTCTTGAATGAAATTTAGTTTGCCAATATCATATGCTGAAAAACAGCCCCACACCATGATATTCCCACCTCCAAACGTCACTGTGTTGGTAATGGTGTTTTTGGGGTGCAGTGCCATTTGACCTCCAAACATGGTGTGTATTATGGCATCCAAAGAGTTTCATTTTGGTCTCATCTGACCAGACTATATTCTCCCAGTATTTCACAGGATTGTCTAAATGTTGTGCAGCAAATTTAAACGAACTTCAACATGCTTTCTCTTCAGCGATGGAGTTTTTTGTGTGGTGAGCGTGATACATGCCATGGAGTTTGAGTGCATCACTTATTGTTTTCTTTGAAATAATTGTACCTGCTAATGCCAGTTCTTTCTGAAGCTCTCCACAAGTGGTCCTTGGCTCTTGGACAACTCTTCTAACAATTCTTTTCACTCCTCTGTCAGAAATCTTGCAAGGAGCACCTGGTTGTGGTCGGTTTATGGTGAAATGATGTTCTTTCCACTTCCAGATTATGGCCCCAACAGTGCTCACTGAAACATTCAGAAGTTTAGAAATCCTGTAACCAATGCCATCAGTATGTTTTGCAACAATAAGGTTGCAAAGGTCTTGAAAGAGCTCTCTTTGCTTCTACCCATCATGAGATGTTTCTCGTGTGTGACACCTCGGTAATGAGACACCTTTTTATAGGCCATCAGCTGAGACTGAACCAGAAGATATTCACCAGTTGCCGATCGCAGATAGCGGAATGACAGCTACACTGCAGCCGGCCAGTTCTAGGAGGGCGTCATATGATGTCCTCCCAGAACACACTCTCGCGCACCCGGCGATCTTCATGATTGCTGTGTCCTACGGACACAGCTGATCATGTGATGTGGTAAAAGGCCAATCGTAGTGGCTTCTTACCACGTGATCAGCCGTATCCAATGACACGCTGATCACAGGGAAATGCAATTGCCGGTTCTCGGCTGCACGTTCCTCACACTGTCAGAATCTGGGGAAAGTACTGCCGAGAACCGGCAGTTGTCAGAGCAGGGATCAGCACCGATCATCAGGGCACTGATGATCAGTGCCCTGATTGGTGCCCAGCAGTGCCACCTATCACGGACGCGGCGTCAGACCCCCAGACCTTCTCACCAAACTCGTGACAGAAGGACCGGCCGATCTAAAACCGTGGTGTGACATGCGTAACAATGCCACACTCAGCTGCGCCCTGCACAATGATTGTCCAGCTAATGGTCTACAATCTGTGCCTGCAGCCTGAATGCGCTTGTTACTGGGTCGGGTTAATTACGCAACTAACCCTTCACTGCCACCACCCCTTTTTGTACAGAGAAAGGGGAAACTCTCCTTATCAATTAATACACTATAATGATTGAAATAATGATCTATATAACACAGTCCGCAGGCCCGTTATACAGAGATTAAAACAAACAGTAGCGTCCCTTCAAAGGCAGGAATTCGTGAATTGCAATTAGGAACTATAGGAACAGTTCAACACTTTCAGAAAGAAAGATTTATTACTAAAAGAGTCAAACAGGTGCAATAAAATAAATATTTACAAAGAAGATGTAACTAAGATGTAAATATATTTATATATAAAAACAACATAGCACAGCCAAGAGATAACAGGGAGAAGTTAAAAGGTTAAGTTACTTGCCATGTTCAGCCTTGAGGTAGCAGATCCAAGTTGCAGAGCGAAGGGTCTTTGATCTCCTGCTGTTACGATGTTAAAATTAGGAGATGTCTTTAGCTTAGCCTCAGGCCTACAGCCTGTGCTTTTTTAAAGTCCCCCAGCAGGGGGTGCCTTTGAGTAAGTGGCCAATACTCTGTTTAGGGAGGGATCTCGGGCGGACTCTGAATTAAAACCAATATCTTCATAATCCATGATATAAAACGCAGGGGACAAACTGACTTGAGGAATGTTCATTTAATTCTGTCACCTTAAGCTGTTAGGTTTCATGAGGTTACAATCTCTTTCAATTCCTGGGAGAAGCTGCCTTATCTGTTTTATGATGTGTGAGCCTACACAGGTTCTTGGGTCAGTGCTTCCCAATTCTCTGAGGAACACTGGCCTTATCATGACTTAGGTGAGGAAGGCTACACTTTCGCAGACTGCTCGGCGCCGAACTAAGAACTTAACCTGCTGTTGACCCATAACCAGCACACACACATCTGTCACTGTGCCTCTCAGGAAGGGAGGGGGAAGGAGAATAAAGGATTGAGGAACACTTCTGATAAAAAAAAAAGGGGAACTCCGCGTCCAACTCTGATGAGCAAGTTTGCTACACCACCCACCAGTTCCACCCACCTGTGCCCAGCAGTGCCGCCCACCTGTGCCCATCAGTGTCACTCACCTGTGCCCAGCAGTGCCACCTACCTCTGGCCATCAGTGCAGCCCAGCAGTGCTGCCAGGCAGTGCCCAGCAGTGCCGCCTATCGATGCTGACTATCAGTTCCACCTATCAGTGCTGCCTATCAGCTCCACCTATCAGTGCCGCCTATCAGTGCTGCCTATCAGTGCCCATCAGTGCTGCCTATCAGTGCAGCCTCATCAACGCACATTAGTAAAGGAGAAAAATTACCTGTTTGCAAAATGTTATAATAGAAACAAAGAAACCTTTTTTTTTCAAATTTTGTGCTCTTTTTTTTGTTTATAGCGCGAAAAATAAAACCCCCAGCGGCAAGTAAAAGAGAGCTCTATTTGTGAGAAAAAAATTATAAAAATTTCATATGGGTACAATGTTGCATGACTACGCAATTGTCATTCAAAGTGCGACAGCGCTGAAAGCTGAAAATTGGCCTGGTAAGGAAGGGGGTATAAGTGCCCGGTAGGCAAGTGGTTAATTTGCACTGACAAGGGGCAGCATTGCTTTCCAATTACTGATAGATTTCAGCTAGTGTATTGGCTTCCCATGCCTTTTTGCGCCTCCCTTTCTCCATGTGTTCAATACTTTTTCTTGTGTCATTCCATTGTATTACACATAGCTCTAACAAGCAGGGCCCTCTGTTTCCTCTTGTACCAAATTGTATTGTAACTGTTATGTCTACCTTAATTTTGTAAAGCGCTGCGCAAACTGTTGGTGCTATATAAATGCTGTATAATAATAATATAAATGTAATTTGCGTACAGTTTTGTATGACCATGCATTTGTCAGTTAAAGTAGTGCAGCGCTGTATAGCAAAAAAATGGCCTGGTCATAAAGGGATGGGGGGCATTTTGGAGGGCAAGTGTCTTCACCTTTTGAAATAAAAATGCACATTTTTTTTTACAGGTAAAAAAAAATTTGCACATTTATTATTTGTTTCTAAGAAGCTGCAGAGCATTACACCCAAGATCAGCAGATCACAGGTGCAATCTCAGGCTCCTGCAAACTCTCAGAATAGTTGTCTACCCATACCTTGTACAAGCAGGCAGTTATTTGAGAGCAGAAAGATCAATGAACTATGACAGCGCTCACCAGTCCCCTCATAGTTCATTGAGAATGACAAGCCATCAGCCATTACCTGTAGACTATTCATTCACAGGAAACTGAATGAATGACGCACCCATGTTGGCAGAGTCCCGCTCGGCCACACAGTTTTCAAATTGTGACAGCAGGTGCGGGGAGAAGATATCCCCTACCCGCTGTCACATGGAGGGGGGATTGGGGGGGGCAGGGTTGAGAGGTTGCAGATGCTGGAACATGTTATATGTTTCACCCTAAAAACAGGTGGAGCATGTAAATTGTTCCAAAGGTAAATTTATCCTTGAAGGAGATATCAGGGAGTTATTTAGACCACTATAGTCGCTTCAGCACTCTGTTGAAGCTGATCAATCCACTTTTATCATGGCTGGAGATTGACAATGCTGAACTCTGAAGTGAACAAAGCTTTGGGTTCATACTTCACAGAGGAGATTATATGTAGAAATGTGTAAACACATATACTATATAGTCAGCAGCAAAAAGTGAAAATGTAAAGAGACTCACAGCTGCCATAGTATCTGGCTTTACACTTGACATTATAGACCTTTCAACAGCAATAAAAGGGTTGACTCTAACCTAAATTAATTTCTCCTTTTTGTTTGCCTTAGGGCAGAGGTTAGATCGTGAGCAGTGACTTTATAGTTGTTTGGGACAGGCACTCCAGACTGCTGATAATAGAGGCCTATATATCGCTATGGTGAATGCAGAACACAGAAATAACCTCACCCGTGAACGCTCTGCACTACAATAGAACTGGTGATAGTGGAAACCTTGCTGCAAAGCTGAGCTTAGCCTATCACAGGTTTGCCATGTGCAGAATCAAATCACTTTAATGGGGCATGGATAGCTGTAAAAGCCCACAGGAAAATGACAGAGACACTAGTATAGTAGCCTTTCAGGAATGGAGCCTCTCTATATTTCCTCAGCCAACTGACATCCTAGGCCATGTAGAGGGCTGTCCAGAAGCTACATTGTTTGTGTCTTCACAAATGAAGCCGGTACAAATGCACCAGCATCTATAGCAATGGCTAAAATTCTTTTCTGAGAGCAGCTCCAAAATTTATTTTCTGACTCCTGTTTCAGTGATGGTTTTGATAAGCAGGCAGACAATGTCAGAAGTGACAGGCTGCAAGCTTATTCTATATCAATAACTCAGGAAATACGAAAGCCAAAGACCAACAGGCTGCTAGCATCTCCAAAAGGAGGTTAGCAATGTAGCCAATATGTCTCTTAGCACAGGTTTTCCCATCTGACCCCACCTCTGGAGCAAATAGGAATTAAAATGGCTGCTTATACAACTCCCCTATAGCAGAGTGCTAATTACACATTACCCAATGTTTAGACTTGTAGGAGCACATAAAAACCTAAGAATGTGTATTAAAATGACATCAAGCATATGTTTCTGGTATTTAGTAGTGCTATTAAACAGTATACAGTATTTGCAATGGTTACAAATAGCCTGATAAATGTTTTCTCCTGTCCTATCTACAGCTGCTTCCAGAGTTAACTAACCCCGATGAGCTTCTTTCCTACCTGGATCCTCCTGACCTCCCCAACAACAGCAATGATGACCTTCTCTCACTGTTTGAGAACAACTAAACTGTAGCTGTCTCCTCATTCCCCAGTCCATAATCCAACCAATCAGGACACACTACGGCAGGCACAATTCTGGAAACTCCACCTCCTAGTCCATCTTGTCTAACCTTCCAGCAAGCTTGTGGCTGTGTTTGCCTCAGACTGATGGCACTTTGAGTGACGCTCCAAAAAGGCAACAAGTGGCTTCAGGCTGCCTGTAGACATCACACATGGTGCTTCCTGGATTTCCCTCACTGAAGTTTATACATGGAAAACATAGAAAGCAAGGCTTTCACTAAGCAAGTCAACAAGAAGTAGTATCGGTGGTGGAGGTCCTAAAAGACATGTATGGCACCTCGTGATGCCCAGTGCTGTCCCCTTTTCCCACACCACCACCAGTCTCACACCAGCTGGAGGAGGAGAACTGTACCATGACTTTGGAAGAAAGATGGAACAAACACACGCACACAAAGCACAAAGTTCCCGAGCAGTGAGCAGGCTGGGCAGACATCTTGCTCACACCACAAACAAGTGCTGAGGACAGCTCTGCTGGGGATCTCCTGCGTCTTTTGTTTGTTGCTGGGGTACACTTCCTCCTGTTTTTATTGTGGCATTTTTAAAGACGTCTCCCCGGGCCTTTAATCAGACATTAGTGTTCTCCTTAGTGAACAGACTTGCACAAAGACCATGGAAGCTAAGGGACAAAATGGCCTGGTTGTTCTCATTTTTTTAAATCTTTTGTTTTAGGCTGCAAAAAAGGGCATTGATGTTGGTTAAGACAGAGCAGCTTAAGGGTTATGTTTTTGTTTTGTTTTTTTGTTAATTATTTTGCTTAACCCAACAAGACTGTTACACAATAACTGGCCTTTTTTTTTTTACCTGCCTGGAGATCATTTCCCTTTTAATATAAACCCACATAAACAAAAACGTGTGTTATTTGTGCAATCTTCTTTCCCAGCCACCTTGTGGTCAAGGTACCTTCTAGAGGTGTGGGGTGGGGATCTAAATGCATGAATCTGACCCAGTTTCTGTGCTTCTGGTGTGTTAATGCTGCTTGCTTCTGTAAAACTGTTGTTATATTTGTACAGAAGTGCATGTGTGCCAATCAATGTTATTTACTTTGTCTTTGTTAAAGTTTTCACTGCTTTTCTCCTTTGCTGGCCTGTTGTGTAAGTAAAAGGGTTAACAAGTGTCCCACTGACCACTTTAGCATCGAGAGGTTCAGAGGCAGACATTTCCCATCGGCTGTTTGGAAGCAGCTCCTCCTCTCGTGCTCAATTCTGTATGTGTGCGTCTCCCAGCTACGACATCATGTTCTTTACATTTTTTTTTTGTCCTGTTTGTTTTTTTTTGTACAGATATGACTGACACACCAAACAATTCTATTTTGTTGGCTTTTGCTTTCTTTTTCTATCACCAAAGTTGTATTTTGTACATTTTTTATTTAACGAAAACAAAGGAAAAAAAAAAGGGGGGGGGGGTGGGGTCGAGTTAATAACGTACCCATTTGTTTTCCCATCCAACAGTTTGAAATTCCTTTTTTTTTGTCTTCATTGTGTAGAAATGTAGTATTTTTTATAAATACATCTGTTTTATTTGTGTTAATGTTTTCATTTCCTAAACTTTCTGTATCTTTATCAAGGTAAGATGGCAGCACACAACGCTGTTCATATGCAAATCATATTTTAAAGGAAATATTGTAAATATGTTCAGATATTTTAGAAATATGTCTTGCCCGTAACCTGGTTTGTTCTCATGCAGTTTTTTTTTTTTTTTGTCAAGTTTGTGACACCCCCCCCCCCCCTCTCTTTAACCCTATCACCATGTTTTGTGCAGCTGTGCATGCAATAATTTATGCTCTGGACCCCATCTTAAGCTACCATAGAAGTAATAGTTCATAAACTGAAAAAAGCAAAGGTGTTGCTGTCTGACAGGGGCACGCCATTAACCTAAAATGCAATGTCTTCATGACTGCTGCAGAACTGGCCTAATCTGTAATTGTGTAGGGCTTATGCAGTTGCTTTTAATCACAATTCTCCACACCTGTGGCATTTAAGTGACAACCAGCATTTAAGGGTGAAAACACCAGTTGTATTAGGAGTTTCTTATATTCCTCCCCAGAAACAAAACAAGGCTACATATCCTGCGTCTGAAATACCTTTTCTGTATTGAGATGTTTTCCCCAAGGGTGTGTTCCTGAAAATTTAGTTTCATAATTACATTGCCTATGGTGCACAGAACTCAGCTGAACTCCATTTGCACTAGACATTCTAGTGGAGTGCTAGAACACATTTTTCTTTAACACTTTCTGAGACCATAGGCCCTGCAGGCTAAAGCTATCCAGATTCCTGTGTGTGCGATTCTTAGCAACTCTACGTAAATGTTCTGTCATTAGTATGCCAAAATATTCCAGCAAAAATAATTTCAATAATCTCAGTTTATGATCCAATTTGTTTTGTTTTTTTATGCATATCCCAAAAAACGAAGGTTGAGCCTCTCACCACATCTGACTTTGGCATATATGAGTGTGGGCAGCAGTACAAGCAAAAATGCTTTTGACAAATATGAGAAATGGCTGTCAGAGCAGAGTTATTAGCTGGAATCAAGTTAACCCATTCGCTGTAAAGAGGGGGGAAAAGGGATTTATAGCATTGCCAGCTTTTGCTTAGCCCTTTCAGATTGGGAAGGGTGAATGGACTTCACAGACCTTATGTAAATAATGTATATGAGCAGTAGAGACATAAAACACAGACACATTCATTTTCCTGGGAATGTGCATTTGTTTGTTTTTTTATTTTGCAAAAAAAAAGGTGTTTAGAAAAAATGTAAAAAAAAAAAACACACACACAAAAAAAAAAAAAAAACCCCTGTGTTTCCATCCGCGTGGAAATGATCCTATATTTGGGGACGGGTGGGGGCAATGTGATGGGTCTGGGTGCATTTTGTGTGATTCCACAACATTGTTTCCACTCCTGTATAATACTCTGACCCTTTGTGAGGACAAATGACATCTTTCTTTAGTTTTAATTATGTACATGTAATATTTTAGCTGACATGCATAGTCCTGTGTATTTTAAAGGTGCTACATATAAAACACAGAAACATACACACAATGAAGATAATAGTGGATCATGGGGAAAAAAAATCAGAAAAGATTGTAACCAAATTCTCTTTGTACAATTTTTGATATTATGATGATCGGATAGGGAAAATTACAAAAATATGGTACAATCTGTAATAAAACATACAAAAGGGCCACTGTATTTTGTCTGTACATTGTATGTACAATTTAATCATTCATATTTGTATCCCCTTCACTGCCAGAGACAATTAGATTTATGTCTTTGGCAGTGAAGGCATAAAATGTTCAAAAATAACGTAATTGTGCTTTTTAGTCTTGCAAAAATTGTATGTAGTTAGTTGTGTCCACCTTATATTTATCAAATAAATATGTACTCAGATCAAACTGTATACTGTGTTAAGTTTTCATTTTATATTCAAAGAGTCCTGCCTACACACATTTTTCTGTGATCAGTATATATCTGGATAGCATATTTGCTTTTAGTTCTTTGTCCTTTTTTTAAAAAAAAAATCTGAAATGTCCAATCCAGTGACATTTACAGTTACTACAGGTACATCAAGGAAACTACCGTATTTTTCGCTCCATAAGACGCACCTGACCATAAGTCACACCTAGGTTTTAGAGGAGGAAAACAAGAAAAAAAAAATATTGTGAACCAATGGACTGCGGACACAGTACAGGAGATGACCAGAGACTGCAGACACAGTACAGGAGATGACCAGAGACTGCGGACACAGTACAGGAGACGACCAGAGACTGCGGACACAGTAGAGGAGACGGCCAGAGACTGCGGACACAGTAGAGGAGACGGCCAGAGACTGCGGACACAGTAGAGGAGACGGCCAGAGACTGCGGACACAGTAGAGGAGACGGCCAGAGACTGCGGACACAGTAGAGGAGACGGCCAGAGACTGCGGACACAGTAGAGGAGACGGCCAGAGACTGCGGACATACTACAGGAGATGACCAGAGACTGCAGACCTTTGGGGAGTGGAAGGCGGGGGGGTGGGGGAGCGGGTACCCATATTTGACAGGTACCCACTCCCATGGCGTTATCCTCCCTCCCCGTGTTCTGGAACATGTGGCAGGTCCCAGAAGACTGCCTGACCATTCACAAAGCGCAGCGCTTCTCACGCATGAGCTGTGGGCACCCGGCTATGAAGCCGCAAGCTGTCACAGCTGGGTGCCCATACTAAAGATGCCAGCACCAGGGAGAGAAGACTGTGAGGACACCTGCTGGACTGAGGAACAGGTAGGACCGAGGAGCAGGTTCTGCTGCACAGAAGAGCCAAGTGGCTGGCCTGGTATTCTAACACAGCGGCAGCGGGAATACCGGGCCGACCCCTCCATAAGACGCACAGACATTTTCCCCCATTTTTTTGGGGGAAAAAAAAAGTGCATCTTATGGAGCAAAAGGGGTCTTATAGAGCATTAAAGGGGTTCGATATAGAAATGAAAAGGGATCACAGATGATTTAATAGAAAGAGAAAAACACTTTTTTTGCTAAAATAAGCGCAATAAATCTTTCTCCTGCAGCCAGTTAAATACTTGCCACCCCTTCCACCTTTGCTGGCGGATGCTGCAGTACTGAAGAATTCTTGCACTTGCACTATTTTTAGCAACAGAGGTGCTATCAAGTCATTTGTACTAGTATAAACTTTGGGGGAGCCAGGCTCCAAATGATCAAACAGCATGTAACCCAAAGCTACAGGAATGCCACAGAAATAACATCATAATTAAATTTGAAAGCTCAACTCCGGGGAAAAAAAAAAAAGAATTTTGACTTGCCTGTAAAATCCAGATCTTCTCGTGCAGTACAGGACACAGGCTGGATATTTATAGACCCTGGGGCATCCTCAAGCAATGAATCAGAGGGGTGCACAACAACAAAGCGAACATAACTGTACCAACAGTCCCAACAAAACAGATCAAGGTCAAAGAC